CCGCGCCCCCAAGTTGTGTGAGATTACACAATGAGGTACAGTTGTAGACTTAAAAGTTTTTGTGCTTGTGTTTCAGTTATACAAGGATCGAGTACCCATCCTCCACCAGTGCCCATCCTCCACCACCACTGATCCCAGTAGCCCTCCCATGGCTTGGAGGCCAGCCACACATGCTAGGGGAAAAGGGAGCTCAGATAGAGAAGGGAGCACCAAATAAAGGGTGTTGGGAGGATCCTCCCAGGATGGGAGAAGCATACTGAAAGTAGACTATAGACTGAACATGTCACGAATCACGAATCACGACCATCCTGTTATTCGTCGATTGCCTCGAGCAGGCCCCAGTAACGTCTCTTTCATCCTAGCCCTGAGATTATATTCAAGGCTCTTTAGGAGAATGAGACCCATCATTGGTACTGGTATTTGGCATATTGGGTACGCCACGGGGAGTTTGCCAGACTCTGCCGTGTGGGCAGGCTACATTCGGTAACCTGCCAGTTTGTCAAAGTAGGAATGAGATGTCATAATAAGATGTCTGAGTTAAGGCTCTTTCAGAGTTAGGAGAATGAGACCCATCATTGTTACTGGTGTTTGGCATATTGGGTACGCCACGGGGAGTTTGCCAGACTCTGCCGTGTGGGCAGGCTACATTCGGTAGCCTGCCAGTTTGTCCAAAGTAGGAATGAGATAATAAGATGTCATAATAAGATGTCCCGGTTCTGGGAGCTGCTTTTTATAGTCTCTGATTCTTGGTCGTTGATGGGATTACACGGTGCTAGGGGGCCAGTTGGTGGGTGTGACCCCCGCCTACTGGAATTTGGAGGATCTGGGTGGATGCTCAGCTCCGATCCGAGTAGGCTTGGAGATCTCAGCCCCCGGGTCCCGCTGGCCTTTGTTCCTCTGCCGGTACCTTCAGGTGTGCGGGGAGTTGTCTCAGCATGGTGGTGGCTGGTTCTGGAGGTCTTCGGCTGCCGGAGCCCTGGTCGGGGCAGGGAGGAAAGCTCAACCTGCTCCCCTCCAAGGGGCCCCGGCGAGGACAGCCAGGCGCGGGGGCAGGAGACTGCACTGTTCTCGTCCGGGAGCTGGATTTTATAGTCTCTGAGTCTTGGCCGTTGATGGGATTACATGGCACCAGGGGGCCAGTTGGTGGGTGTGACCCCCGCCTACTGGAATTTGGAGGATCTGGGTGGAGGATGCTCAGCCCCGATCCAAGTAGGCTTGGAGATCTCAGCCCTGGGACCCGCATGCCTTTGTTCCTCTGCTGGTTCCGTCATGTGTGCGGAGAATGGTCTCAGCATGGTGGTGGTTGGTCCTGGAGGTCTTCGGCTGCCGGAGCCCTGGTCGGGGCAGGGAGGAAAGCTCAACCTGCTCCCCTCCAAGGGGCCCCGGCGAGGACAGCCAGGCGCGGGGGCAGGAGACTGCACTGTTCTCTTCCGGGAGCTGGTTTTTATAGTCTCAGTCTCTGACTGAACATGATTGCCACTCAATTCCTCTTTGGCAAACATACTTGTTTTATTGACGAAACTTGTAGGGGCCAAAGAGATAGTACAGTGGGTAGGGCATTTTGCCTTGCACACATCCATCCCTGGTTCAATCACCAGCACCACGTAGGCTTCCCTGAGCACCAGCAGGAGTGATCCCTGAGCACCACTTAGTGGTGAGCTCCCTCACCCTCCAATAAAACAAAGTCTGTAAGAAGAAACCCCGGAAAGTGCCCACAGGGTGTGTCTCTACGCTTAAGCGAGGATGAGGTTTGCACGTTCGTGCTGCTTGCTTTCTCTCAGACTCGGATATCGCCCTCCTTTAAGAACTAGCGTTGTCTTCAGGAGTTCCCCGCCTGTCCGCCTTTGCCTTCAGAACCTGTTCCAAAATGGCTGGTAGCAGCGCCCCCCGTGACAGCCAAGGAGGCTCCCCAGCCTCGGGCATCCGTTGGGGCAACTGACTCCCTGTCCAGGTGCTGAGTCTGCTGCTACCAGCAGGTACCTCCCGCCGTTGCCCCAAGCTCCCCACCACGGGCAAGGACAGTTTCTTAGCCATCGCAGGTGTGATCGGTGCCAGGTGGTGCCCAGAGGAAGGCTGGGTTTCTTGGCAGCGGGGAGTAGGGGGTGACACTCGGTCCCTGTGGCTTTTTTTCTGGGAAGGTCTGGTGACTTACCCGTGCCCAGCCTGGAGCCGGTTTGCCGCTGCTGCAGCCGCACTTACTGTGTCCCAGGGCCCTTGGACCCTAGGGATTGCCCAACCCCTATTCTATACTCCAGCAGCTTTGGTCTGTGACTGTCGCGGCGCAGGGCTGTGTCCACACTTTGGGCATCTTCCCGCCCCCGTGTCCCCAGCACAGTGAGGAGCAGCCGCGCGCACTCAGCGCACACACTGGTTTGAGGGTGCTGGTTTGAGGGGGCCTCCCTTTCGCGCCTGGCAGAGGGAATGCTGCTTCCCACATGTCTGTGTGTCCCCCACAGCCCAGCGAGGACACGGGCTCAGCCCCTGCAGGAGAACGCGGCCCGAGCGGGCTGGAATTTTGGGCCTCGGCAGCTGCTGCTGCGTCTGTGCAGCGTGGCAGGTCAGGCAGTTGGGGAGGGTCGTGGAGCGCTGTCCCCCGGGTGACTAAGCAAAGCGGGGATCCCGCCCAGGATGCACCCGCTTTGGCAGGGGGAGGATATTGCCTGGGGGCACAGAGGGGTGCAAAGGGCTGAGGCTTTGTGCCTTGACAACCAGGGATGAGGCCGGCCGTGGCCTTGTCCCGCTGATGAGACATAACACGGCCACCCTGGTGACCTTGTGCGACGCCCTCGGAGCTCCAGGGCCGTGAAGATTGGCAAGTTCAAGTCCCCTCAAATGCTCTGGAGCAAGGCTTAACACGGAGGGAGAAGGAGTCCTTGGCCTTTTCCGCCCCGCCGCTGAGTCACAAAAAAGTACACAGAGTCCTGGGGCGCAAGCCCGGGGCAGAGGATGCCCGAGAGCGAAGCACAGGGGTAAGGGCAGAGCCCGGCCCCCATTCACGCCGGGCCCCCTACTGGTTGCTCCGTGCCCACTGCTTCTAATTTGCTGAAGGCCTGTTCCCAGCCACCCCGGAAGTGAAGGCAAGGGGTGCACGAGGGTGGGCACACCTGTCTCCCCCATTTTTAGGGGTTCTCCTTGGCACTTGCTCAGCATCCCGGGAACACCCCCAGGATTCTCTGCCAGCCGGGCCAGTGGTTCGGTGCTAGAGCTGGAGGATGTGGTGGCGGGGGCGGCGTGCGTGTCCCGAAATGCTCAGGAGGTCACGTGCAGCTGCAGGTCCAAGGCGGCTGGGTGCCTGTGAGGCAGATGCCCGAAGCCTGTACTGTCTCCCAGCCCTCCAGTGCCTGAGACTTACTCCTGGCCCAGCGGTCACTCCAGGTAGGCATGATGGACCATATGGGGTGCTGGGTATCAAACCCAGGTCAGCCATGAGCTGGGCCCTCCCCACTGTACTATAGCTCAGACCCCTCCAAGACTTTTTGTTTTTTGCTTTTTGGGTCACACCCGGCTATGCTTAGGGGTCTCTCCTGGCGGTGCTCGGGGGACCATATGGGATGCTGGGAATCGAACCCAGGTGGGCCGCGTGCAAGACAAATGAACTACCAGTGCAGCTATCCTTCCAAATCCCCCTCCAGGACTTTAGAGGGGCTGGAGTTGATAGCACAGCGGGTAGGGCGTCTGCCTTGCATGCAGCTGACCCAGGTTCGATTCTCAGCATCCCATATGGTCCCCTGAGCACCACCAGGAGTGATTCCTGAGTGCATGAGCCAGGAGTAACCCCGTTCATCGCCGGATGTGACCCAAAAAGCAAAAAAAAAAAAAGACTTTTGAGAATTGGTTTTGGGGTGCTCAGGGGAGCCAGGATTCCTACCGGCAGTATCTCCTCCTGGGGCCCAGCAGTTGGGCTATATTTGAGGGCTCAGCAATGCCAAAGATGTGTACGTGGGAAGCCTATGGACACTCCGAGCTCCTTCCTTGACCCCAGATGATTTATTTTGGTTTGGGGGCCACACCCAGCGGCTCTCAGGGCTTACTCCCAGGTTGGCACTCAGGGATCACTTCCGGTGGACTTAGAGGACCCTTTGTGTCAGCTGTGTACACTTATCTATCGCCACCTCCCGTCATTTTGTTTTTAAAAAACAGAGATGAAGAGTTCGAGTTCCTCATTTATCTTTAGAATGGGATAAATAATTTGTGATTTGGGAACAGATTGTTAAAGCACCATGATTTCTCAAGTCATTGATAATCGAGTGTCAAGACGTACAACGTTTCAGCACCAGTTCCAACACTACGGTCACCTTCCCTCCCCCACGCCTGCAGCCTGCCATGGGCTTGTCTCAACCCCTGTGTGAAACCGTATGGCGAGTGTAGACTCAGACTCGCGCTGCCGTAAGACCCTGCAGTTCCCCTTTGGGGCATCTCCCTACAGGCTACAGAACTCTTCATCCCCAAGGATGCGACACGCCAGTATCGGTCACCGCGGCCTGCTCAGTAGCCCAGGCGTGGGCTCGGTGGAGGTGGCCAGTGCCAGGCGTGGGTGAGCAGGACTTGGAGCAGTGAGCTGGTGCAGGGACCCCCCATCGTGCTCGGCGGACCCACCTGCTCCGTCACTTTGATTGCCGAGGGAAATGTCACAGCTCCTTGGCTCCCACACTCCAAGGCGGTGGCCCCCCGAGAAGCCCAGCTCTGAGGACAGCGTCTGCTGCACTAATGAGGAGCGGGTAGCAGCAAAGCACAGCAGAGGACTAATTAGGGGCCTGAAATGGCACCAGTTCTTGTCACCGAGCGGCTGGCAGGAGGCTGGCGTGCGTGTGTGTGTGTGCCTCCGGCACATCGGAGCGAAGCGTTGGTCCCAGTGACCGTGTCTGCCCTGTGGTCAGCGAGCCCTGCCCTGCCCCCCGTGCCATGAATGTCAGACCAGCAGAGGCTGGAAGGCCAGCTGGCCCCGAAGTGCGTGCTCGCGGACTCACTGCAGACACTAAGTGTGTTTGTCCCTTTTCCAGGCGACGGCCGCTCCAGCAGTGAAGACAGCCCCGAATCCGGTGCGTTTCTGAGGCCTGAATCTTCTGGTACAAAGCGAACTGAGGGTTTGCACAGGGCGCGTACGCCCCCGGCAGCTTCCCACGGCCTGGCATGTGTGTGGGAGGGAGATTTCCGTGTCACCGGGCCATGATCATGCCCTCAACTTATAGTTGAGTATCGTGGCTCTTTGGCCTGGCCCATTTCGATGCCAGGGTAGCTCACCGCTTGCCCTGGGTCCATTCAGTCCCTCGTCGGGACCCTGCTTCTGGGGTGCTAGGAACTAAGGGCAACTGAGTCAAGAAATCAGATGCCCAGGAGTAAATATGATTCGGAGTCAATCAACTCCCAAGTTACAAAGCATAATATCAACTGTCTTCCTGTGTCCACACAGAAAGGACATTGCTTACAATACAAGTTCAGTGTCCTTAGATGGGTGTGACCTGACAAACCTAAGCTACCCGAGGAAGGACAAAAGAGTGTTATCCTACAGCCGGGGACGCTGTGAGGAGCTGGGCTTCAGGAACTCGGGGCGGTAGCGGCACCCCGTGCAAATTCCTCACAGGCAATGCCAGGCACTTTGGCCAATCCCAGGAGCCGCTGGGCCCTTGAGCACTGGCTGGAGGCCTGGCCCAGGGCGCGTGTCACCCAGCTAAGCTCCCTCAGCTCCACCCCAACACCGTCTCCTGCCTTCTGCTCTGTGCAGGAATGCCAGCCGAGACGGGCACCATCGCGGGGGTGGCCAGCGCACTGGCCATGGCGTTGGTGGGCGCCATCTCCAGCTACATCTCCTACCAGCAGAAGAAGTTCTGCTTCAGTATCCAGCGTAAGTGCTTGTGCCCCACGCAGAACCCAAGAAACGGGCTTTCTTGTGCTTCCAGAGGTGACGGGCTGAGTTGGGGGCTGGGTTCTGCTGGAGGGGCCGGAAGTTCTGCCTGCTGCTAGCGTTGCAGCCCGCTGCGAGTCGCGGGTCTCTTAAAAGGACACTCGTCATTGGATTTGCTGCCTCCCCACCAGTCCTTACATTTCACCTTGAGGTCCTTAGATATTTTTTTCTTGCTTGGGGGGGGGGGCAGTGGCTTCAGCAGTGCCCAGGCCTTCCTCCTGGCTCTGTGGTCACTCCTTCCTGCCAGGGCTCAGGGGACCAAATGCGGCGTGTCGTGTGCAGAGGCGAGCGCCTCACCCCTGCCCACTGTCCCTCCCCTTCAGGATCCTTAGCTGCACACGCCAAGGCCTGTTTCTGCCTAAGGTCTCCCGGTTCCAGAGCTGGCGGGGAGGGGACCATGCCATCCACCACGCACAGAGTCTGCAAACGCTTCAGCACCCGTAGCTGACCTTTGGGGAAACAGGAAGTGACACCCTGCACACCCCCCCCTCCGGCTGAGTTCAGGAAGTAGGGCTCCCCAGCACTGACGTGCTGCACAAGTCCCCCTCATCTTCCAGACGAGGGTCTGGCGAATGGAAAGGACCCGAGACCAGGAAGAGGTGGATTTGCAGCTGTCCCCGTGGTGTGGAGCTGGGGGACGCAGAGATGTGGACAAAGGCGGATGTGGCGGAGTCTCTGACTTCGCTGACTACAGCCATACCCCACACGTCAGCACACCCCTCCCCCCATGTGCCCGGCATCCAGGCAGTGGGGGACAGGGGCCTCTGGGACCCGGCCCTTGGCCAGCAGTGGGGGGCCCTGCAGTTTGGAAGGCCGCCTTGCTTCCGTCTCACCCAGGCGGCTGATGTGCTGGGAGGAACCCCGCTCACCCTCCACCCTCCCCCACTCCCCCTAGCCCTGTGGTCGCTTTCACCCCCAACCACAGGCCGCCTGCTTTGACGAGGCCAGGCCGGTCTCTGTGTGGGCCCACAGCGCCCTCTGCTGGTGCATCGGGCAGCCCGCAGGCATAGTGGGGTGAAGCGCGCGGGGCTGAAGGGCATCCCTGTCAACGGGGAGGGGGGGTGCTGTGGGTGTCAGCGAGCGTCCAGAGCAGCTCTGCAGTGGGTTGGCCCATTCCTGCAGGCCAGGGGCCGGTTCCCATAGGCCCCTGTGCCCCCAGCCCCCGGGTCGGTGGGGCTCGGGCCGGGCTCAGCTCGCAGGGTCTCAGCCTTGTGTCTTGCCTTCAGATGCAGCCGAAGGTTCAGGTAAACGCCCTCTGCCCGTTTCCTTCCGTGCCCACCCCTCGCCTGCCCTCCGCATGCTCCGTGGCTTCCTCCCCCCAGTGCTCACTGCCGCAGCCGCACCTTCTGCTCCTGGTCGCGGAGCAGGAATGGGACCCAGACACGTGCAGATGTTCCCTGTCCAGGCTCTGTCCCTGTCTGGGACCCTGATGCACGCTGGTGCTCCTCGTCCACGCTCTGCCCCAGCCTGGGACTCAGATGCGTGCTGGTGCTCCCGGTCCACGCTCTGCCCCAGCCTGGGACTCAGATGCGCGCTGGTGCTCCCCGTCCACGCTCTGTCCCCAGCCTGGGACTCAGATGTGCGCTGGTGCTCCCCGTCCACGCTCTGCCCCAGCCTGGGACTCAGATGCGTGCTGGTGCTCCCGGTCCACGCTCTGCCCCAGCCTGGGACTCAGATGCGCGCTAGTGCTCCTCGTCCATGCTCTGTCCCAGCCTGGGACTCAGATGCGCGCTGGTGTCCTCCTTCCCCCCAGAACAAAGTGATGCCTCCGGGGACTGGTTTATCCACTGCCTCAGCTTCCCCCAGCTGCCAATACCCCCACCTCCTTATGCTGGCTCCCCGCCCCCTCACCGAGCCTGGGATTAGGTGTGCCTCATCTGGGCCCTCCCACCCCAAAGCCCAGGCCAGATGAGAGCCCCGGTCCCCGGGGTCTGGGAAGAAACTGTGGGCTAGAGCAGCTGGGAGCCCCCGTCCCTCTGGCCCTCTCTGACCCCTGACCCCTCTTGTCCACAGAGGGTGTCAATGCTGACTATGTGAAGGGCGAGCACCTGGAAGCCGTGGTGTGTGAGGAGCCCCAAGGTGAGCACTTCCGGGTCACCGGCTGCGCAGGCCTGCTGGGGATACCAGGAAGCAGGCTGCTGTCTTTCTAGAACTTCTGCCCTCAGCAGAGACCCCCCTGAAGCCAGAGCCCACATTCCAGACACATGGACACTGGGGCTCCAGGTGGGCGGTGCCCCCAGTGACCCAACCCGGCCTGAGGGGATGAATGCGACACGGCCCCCTTCCTGCTGCGCTTTCTTGCCATCGGAGGTGGTGGGTGGTCTGCAGTGCCTAGAGGGCGGGCAGCGTCCGGGAGCGCCCCCGGGGTGCGAGGGGACAGGAGCTCATCATGCACTCTCTCTGCAGTGAAATTCAGCGAGGTGCAGGCCTCCGCGCCACCCCAGCCCCGGATCTGAGCCCTGTCGCCGTGTCCCCTGCTCCTGTGATGGCTTCGGCTTTTCCTGCCCCCACGCGTGACCGAAGAGCGGGCTGCCCGCACCAGCCTGGCCCACGGATTCCCGCTGCCCTCCGTCACTTTCTCCCTGCCCTTAGCAAGCACGAATGTGAATCCAAGTCGCTGTGAGCCCCCCACTATGACCGCCTCCTGCCCCTGGGTGCCCCCAGTAGTGACTGCACAGAGGCCAGGGGGTGGGGGTGCGGGTTCGTTCAGAGTAGTCACCAGTTCCTGCTCGGTGCCAGAGCCAGACCCCGGGCCCCCCGGTTGGGTGTCAGCATCTCTGCAGCCAATGACCGTGTTCCTGCTGGCGTGATGGGTGTGCCCGCATGCTCTCGGATCACAGGCCCCTAGGCACTCGGCCCTGCCCAGCGGGTGGCATGACCAGGCACTTCTGGAGGCAGAACCTGGACGAGCAGGGTCCCAACTGCAAGGCTCATGGGACTGCGCGTTAGGGGCGGCCCTGGAGCACACGGGCTGCCACGGCTGAAGTCAGATCACTCACGACATCGAACGTGCCGCGTGTCCCATTAAATGAAGTGTGTTAACGTGTCACCATTCGGCTCGGTTTTGTCACTGCGATCTTCCCTCCGATTCCAAACCCACGCGCTGATGTAAAGAGCAGCGGAGCCGGCGCACGGGGCAAACACAGTTTTAATTATAGGGGTACAGTGCATCGGCTGAGGCAAATACAGTATCATGGCAGCTTTAAAACCCTGACCCAGAAAGGTTTGACATTCTCGTACACGTCATTAAAGTGGAAGACTAGAAGTGCTCGGATTCCAGAGCTCGAGCTCGGGGGTAGAATGTCCGCCTGTCTGTCTCAGGCCGGAAGGGGCCCCGCGCTATGCTGCTGTGGGGCGAGTGGCGGGTTCGGGGCCCTGGTGCCCCACCTGAGGTGCGCCGACCCCGGCCGGGCTAAGGCCACTTTCTCCTCTGGTTCTGTCAAGAGCCTTGTGCCAACCACACCAAGTTTATGATTCCTAGTGCAGCTGGGCGATGTTTGGGGGGGAGGGGACGGGAAAGAACCAGCGTCACTTTGAGAAATGCCATTCCAAAAACGCTGTCGGACATGGCAGGGGCAAAAAATGACCTTCAACTGTGTATGACTTAGAAACAAACCCCCCAGATGATAAAAATGGAGAATCTTAGGGTATCAAATGACCTTGAGTAAATACGTAATTATACCAGAAAACAAAAATTTCTGTAAGAACCAGAAGATTGCAAGTTGAAAAGACATCTCAGTTTTTGTAAAAAAAAAACTTTGAAGAATCCCTTTGCAAATGATGGTCACGGTGAGGTTGGCCCGGGCACCCAGGGGTCCGGGGGGCCTGGGGCGCTGTCACAGCGCCAGAAGGGAGGGAAAGGGGGAAGAGGAAACTGAGGGCTGTGCATGCTGGGACTTCCCAACGGTGACATGCAGTGTCCCGAACCAGCACTGCACGCGGGTGTGGCCCCGAACGCCAGCCTCTGACACCTTCGGCTCCTGCCATGCAGTGCCTTGGGGGCTGCATCGCTCAGGGAGGGGCGGCCTGCCGGGCCATCCCAAGGCCCAGACGCAAACCGCTTTGTCACCGTACCGCCTAGAGCAGGGCCCGGGGCTTCGCTCCAGCTGCCCTGTGGGCTGCGTCCCTCCTGTGGGCATGGGAAGGACAGGCGGACACACAGCCACACCCGCCGCCGCTTCCTCTGGTGCCCCCCACGCTGCCCAGCACAGTAGGAGCTCGGGTCACGGGGCACGGTGACAGCCGGCCAGGGGGACACAGAGTGTTCACAACACAGAAAGCACGTGACGACATGGGGCGCTGTCACCTGGCCACACAGGCCGTCACCGCTTGGCGGTGCCAGCCAGGCGTGGAGGGCACAGGGCCTCGCGCCGTGAGACGGGATCCCAGGCTCCTGCGGGGCCCGGCGGGTGTCACACCGACGTGTGCACGGGGGTCACAGGCTGCGACGGCGATGAGCGCTCGGGCGAGGACGAGGCGTGTGCTGCCACCTCCCGACGCAGCTCGTCCACCCGCTTCTGCAGCTCCGCGCGTACGGCCAGCAGTTCCTTGGTGTGCTGGTGAATCGGCATCTGCAACAGACACAGTGGGGCACTCTCTGGGGCCGGCAAGGAGGGTGGGCTGGTGGGAGCACGGCCCTGGGGGTCGGGGTTGGGTCTCTGCTCACTGCTCCCGTCCAACGTCCCGGAACCTTCTAGGCTGGCCTTTGGACCCGGACAGTTGCGAGGCAGGCTGAGAACAGATGCTCCCTCCAGCCAGGGACTGGGACCCGCGGACACGCCACCCCGCCCTGGTCTGTGACAGACTTGCTGGTGGCCCCTCATGGGCACAGCGGTAGGCTCCGCACAGACTGATGCCCCAGCCCTTCGCGCCAAGGAACCCAGCCGTGCTCGCTCCTGCAACGCTCAGGGGGCACCCTGCCGCATACACCCATCAGTGACAGGCCCGAGGCCATCTGTGGGGCTGGGGACCCCCGGAGCCCCTCCACATTCCCCGCTGGGCCTTGCTTCAGCCGGGTCCCACTGACCGTGAGTTGGGGGGATACATCGGGCAACAGAGGCGGCCACCTGCAGCTGCCTTCCGGGGCCTTCGCTGGCCACGTCCCACCTACCTTTCCCACTCTCACTGGGACGCAGGCTTGAACACAACACGTGGCATTTGGGATAACTAGTGGGGGTCCATGCACTGCTCTTGCACATGTGTGGCCGCCTACCCCCTCCCTGCCCTTCCAGTTCATACCCCAGCCCGCGACTGGCCTGGCCTCTTGCAAGCACTGGGTCCCGACTCCCACCCTCTGGCACTGGCCCTTCCCCCAGGGTGGGCTGACACCTGCGAGCCTGCCTTTGCCCACAGCGGCTGCATGGTGCGCATGTTGCCAGCAGAGGGCGCCTTTGCAGCAAGGATGCGGAGCCCCAGGAAGGGGCCTGAGCGCTGGGATGTCTGCAGGCTGCCCTGCTGCTCTGGACAGTGGTAGGCGACAGAAATGACGCCCTGCCACACGCAGTTGAGCCATGCCCAGAAAGAGCAAGCACACAGGCAAGCTGCTGCAAGGGTGCAAGCTACTGCGAGGCAGGTGCTGGCTCTGGTTCGGGGTGGGGGGATCCCCCAGGCCCTGAGCTTCTTCGGCCTGCAGCCAGCACTATGACCCAGTCGTACGGGGTGCTTTGCAGGGAGGGCACCGTCACTCCAGGGACAGGAAGCGACCATGCCAGGGAGAGGCGTGGCCCGGCAGGCTGGGATAGGGCAGTGGAGGAGCCGGGCAGGAGCCAGGCCAGGGACGGCTTTGGGGTCGTTTAGTCAGTCCCACACCTCATGCAGCAGCTCCAGGCTCCCGGGACGGGACCGGGCAGGACACAGGTGTGGGCAGGCCCAGGGCGCAGGAGGGCAGGGCAGTGTGTGCAGCACCCCCTTTCCTGGGGAGACGAGACACGCTCTTTAAACCGAAGGCAAGCAAAGCGAGAAATACCTGAGGCCGCATGCGTGGGTTCCATCGCACGTAGTAGTTTACCCATAGCTCCAAGTGAGTCACACCGGCCACCGGGTAGAGGACGTGGTGCTCGTAATTCACATAGAAGGGGTTAGAAAATTCATCGAGCTGACTATTGATGTAAGACCACAGAGACACAGTCTTCGTCTGTATGTCCTGAGAGAGAAAAGAAGGGGCAGACTGGAGTAAAGGCAGCGCATGCTCGGAGCCTCGGGCACAGGCCTGTGGGAGGTGGGGGGGGAGGGGATTAGGATGCTGGGAAAGTTCAGCACTGTTTACCCAGCCACACTCGGCCCTGAGCTCGGGGTGACACGAAAACACCCGCTGTGGCCCAGTCCCGTGGTTTCTGGCAGCTGTGTCCGAGTGGCAGAACTTGGGGCTTCCCGAGAATCAGGATGATGCGGCCCGTCGGTAACAAAACTCACTCTCAAGTTTGCTTTTGTAGCTCAAGCCTGGGGACCGTGGGCGGAACCGATCGATCGGGTTCCTTTTGCTGTGGACGCGGGTGGCATGTTGGAGAAGCTTTCTGCAGACAAGAGGACGGCCACACTCGGCCTCTGTCACTGAGGGAAATGCTGGGACCATGTGCACTGCTCCCTCGGGGCCACCGCCAAATGCATAGGCACGGGGCGGGGGGGACGCAGGGAAATATTCAACATGGCTCAAACAGAAGGACAAAGTCATAATTAAAAACGGGAATGCCGGGGCTGGAGCGATAGCACAGCGGGTAGGGCATTTGCCTTGCACGCGGCCGATCCAGGTTCGATTCCCAGCACCCCATCCCATATGGTCCCCTGAGCACCGCCAGGAGTGATTCCTGAGTGCATGAGCCAGGAGGAACCCCCGCGCATCGCCGGGTGTGACCCAAAAAGAAAAAAAAAGGGCATGCCAGGGTGGGATGGGGAGTGGGAGAGATACTGGGATCCGTGGGGGTGGGAAATGGGCACTGGTGGAGGAATGGGTATTTGATCATTGTATAACTGAAACCCAAGCACAAAAATTTGTTAAGTCTGCAACTGTACCTCATGGTGTCTCACTAATAAAAATTTAAAAAAGGAAAAAAGAAAACGGGCATGCCACAAATGCTCTCTGCCATTTGGTCACCCCCAAGCCAGAAAACCTCTTTTTCCTTGCAAGCTACTGAGACCCAGAAATTTCAACTAGTGTATTTTCATAGTTTACAGTTTGTATTTATATTAAAAAGTCAAAAGGCAAGGGACCCAAAATGCCAAAAGAGTCTTGAAAGAGAAAAAAAATGGAAATCTCATACTTCCCAGATTGAAAACTTCCACAATGCTATAGTAATCAACACAGGTCATATTGACACAGGGTGGCTAGACACAGGTGAACGGAATGAGGAGCACAGAAATGAACCTGCACATTTACAGCCACGGTGCAGGAGACTTGGCACTGGGGCAACCGGAGATTCGCCTATGAAAGAACGAAGCTGGACCCTTACATCACACCATACTTGCCACACCAACCCAAATGCAAAATGAATCAATCCTCGTCTGAAATAGATTTGTGGCAACTACAAAACTCTTGGAAGAAAACACAGGATCAAATTTTCACGGCCGGGGGTCAAGCAGTGGTCTGGGAGTCATGACACCAGAGTCATGTGCAACCGAAGTGAAGAGCTAAACTGGACGTATTCCAACTTAAACACGTCATTCAAATATCGTAAGATTAAAAGGTAAAGGTAAAGGCCCTCCCGTTGATCGTCGATTTGCTCGAGCGGGCCCAGTAACGTCTCCATTGGAGACTTTGTTGTTACTGTGTCTGGCATATCGAATACTCTCGGTAGCTTGCCGGGAAGATTAAAAACACTAAAATATGGGAAAAAATGTTAAAAAGCATATCTGATATTTGAATATGTGGGGAAAAAAAGTTCCCGAGGAAGTCTTCCAACTCAGGACTAAAAAGACAGCCCCATTTAAAATGGGCAAAGACGCAAGAGACTGCCTGGTGTGCTGAGAGCATGCTTCGCTTTCAGGAGGCCCAGGTTTTATTCCCAGTTCCACAGGGTCCCTTGGGCCCAGAGCCAGGAGTAGTCCCCATGCACCGGTGGTGAGCCACCAAACCAAAAATAGATGCATTAATTAAAATGAAATTAAAATATGCAACAGCTCTGAATATACACTGTGCTGTGTACTGCAGGTCGCATTTGCGAGGATGCGGTGCTCCACACTGTCACTGATCTGGGGATGCACATCCAAACGATGACGTGCCACGCCATACCCTGCATGAGTAGAATCAGGAAAGGACACAAAGCACATCTGCTAAGATGCAGAGAGAAAAACGAACTCTCAGACACTGCTACCAGGGATGCAGCTTGTAGTAACACCTGTAAAACACCCTGGCAGTTCCTCAACAGGTTCAGTAGAATTTTCATACACATCAACAATCCCTCTCCTAGGTGCATACTCAGGAGACTCTACAGCTAACTTCACACAAAGACCTGTACATGGAATAGTAGTCGCAGCTTGATTCCTTAGAGCCTCAACCATATTTACTGAGGCCAAAAGTGTGAACCAGCCCTGTAGTGGAATATTATTCAGCTGTGAAAAAGGAACAGAGTACTGAAACACCCTTTAATTTGGCTTGACTTCAAAAACATTATGCTTATTGACATAATCCATAAGAGGACAAATATCAGATTCTATCTATATGAGGTTTCCAAATGAGGCAAATTTACAGAGATATAAAACAGATTCTGCTCACCAGGGCCTGGGGGAGGGGAGAATAGGGCAGGAGTGCTTTGTTTGCAGAAAGAGGACTCCACAACATTATGTGCCATGTTGGTGACACATTCACAATCGCTGTGAATGCAGCGTGGGTCCCCACAGAACTGGATGCTTTACAGAGGTGAGCTGCATGTGAAGTAAAATAGCTAACTTTTAGAAAAGGTCCTATTTTAGACCTAAATATAGAAAACTCAGAGTTTCGATTTTTCAAGGTAAACCTGCAGCCTCCCTACCGAGTGGCACATGGCAGATTCTGGACTTTTTCCTTCATTCAGCGTTTCTCAAGAGTCACGCGGTGCCTCCAGGCCCGCTGCCTTCCTTTCTCCCGATGGCCGCGGGGAGGCTGCTGGAGTAGCCGTGCTGAGTGCGTGGCTGCGAGTTGGGAAGGAGGTGGCCAAGGCTAGTCCTGGCGTGCTAAGCCCTATCCCTGCTGTGAAACAACGGGGGCTAGACCTGGGCTTAAAGAATGGCTTAAAGAATCCATCTGTGGGGCCAGAGTGACAGTCCAGCAGGGAGGGTGTTTGCCTTGCACGTGGCTGCCCTGGGTTCAATCTCCAGGCCCCCATAAGGTCTCCTGAGCCTTGCCTGAGTGCCGAGCCAGGAGTAAGCCCTGAGCATTGCTGGGTGTGGCCTCAAAACAAAAACAAATCCATTGGGGTGGGGGGAAAGGGTTAGGGGGTGGCAGTGGTTCAAGGAGCTTGCCTTGGACACAGGCAACCCTGGTCGAGTCCCTAATGCTGCATACGGTCCCTCAAGCTGTCAGAGTAAGGAGTTAGCTCTGATCACCTCTGGGTGTGACCCCCAGCACTCCCCCAAATTCATTAAAGGGACAGGACTACCAGCACCTGCTGTAAGAGCGAGACAGCTAGAGGCTGTAAGGGAGAGGCTGGGGGTGCCACCAGGGCCTGGGCCTCAGCCTTGCCCTCTACTAAGCTGGAGGAGAACAGGGAGGGACAGGGGGCATAGGAGGGCACGTTGCAATGACCCAGGGGTGGTCGTAGTATCGGACCATAAGTGCACTTGGGGGCACTTGTGTGCTACAAGACGGTAGATTTCCAGGGGATGTTGAGTGATTAATTTTTATGAAAAGGGAGAAGTAGGCCACGTGACTTTTGGCACCCCAGGTCTGGCGAACGGGCAGCGACACGACCTGTCCCCTCTCCAAGTAACACCCACCAGAGAAGCTAGGCACCCACAGCCACAGGAAGCACTTACCTCTTTGAATCGCTGCTTTTCACAGTTGCACAAGAAAGTCCCAAAGAGACAGCTATAAAGGTGATCCAAAATTGTAATCAACAGCAGTTCGTTAAACTCGAAGGCCGATGGAAACTTAATGAAGAAAATACAAAAATAATAACAATAAAAAAAACCAGCTTTAGCTTCTTAAGCGCATCTGATGAAACAGCGAGGCAGTGACTTGTGAGGACAGTGAAACTATGACGGGGAACAGCATCCAGGTTACGGGGACACTCGGCCCACACAGTAGGAAAGGAGAACTGAGTGTCTGCGGCCTGCCTGCGAGCACGGCATCTGCTACAGAGAAGCGGAACGAGGCAGAATACTGCAAGTGGCAATTCTTACACCCTGCCAAGGGCCTCATACCCTGAGAGAGAAAACAAACTTTGGGGAAGAATCTGGGGCTCAGGGCAGTGACCAAAAGTGATACAAACCGAAGCCAGAGTGACAGTACAACAGGTAAGGTGTTTGCCTGGCACGCGGCCAACCTGAATTCAATCTCCAGCATGCCAGGAGTGACCCCTGAACACAGAGCCAGGAGTCATTCCTGAGCACCGCTGGGTGTGGCCCCCAAACCAAAAAAAAAAAAGGTGACACAAACAGAACGCCTGTATTTAAGAGACAACTGTGAGTGGAAAACTCCCAGGGAAACAATTGTGAACACACATCCCTAAAGCCTTACCTACAGAAGCAAGCACAGCCCTCAGTGTGGAGAACCTCTGCAGGGGGTGGTCACGAGGGACCCGAAGACTTATCATTGACAGGATGAGTGTTGCTAACTGTTGTTTTAGGAACTTTAGGGGAGTGGAAGGTTCCAGGCAGGAGCTTCCACTGAGAGGCTGCAGGAGATGTGGAAGTGATAGTCCCACTCACAGGGGACCTACTGTGTGCACGGATCTTACACAGGAACATAGTCAGGGCTTCACGCCATGAAAGACAGGCAGAGCTGACCCGGAGGCCTACCCAGCGTGCTAAGTGTCCAGTACATCTTCTTTTCTGGTTCTTGATTTGTTTCATTGAACTGTAGTGTAGATGGCCTGGTTGCAGCAGCGCTAACATTCAAGGCATTGACGGACGATGTGCCCCAAGTACTCTACTAGTGCCCTGCACCTGTTTTCAGACACCTGTTATGCGGCGACACTGTGCCCACCAGCAGCAGGCTTTCAAGTGATATTCAAGTACTGTCTTCCTGTTCATCGATTTTGCTTGAGCGGGCCCAGTAACATGTCCATTTTGAGACTTCTTGTTACTGTGTTTGGCACATTGACTACGTCACGGGTAGCTTGCCAGGCTTTGCCGTGCAGGCAAGATACTCTCGGTAGCTTGCCAGGCTCTCCGAGAGGGGTGGAGGAATCGAACCCGGCTTGGCCGGGCTGGCTGTGTGCAAGGCAAATGCCCTACCGCTATGCTATCGCTCCAGCCCCAGCAGCAGGCTAGGAGGCTTTATCTTTCCCCCTGTCCATTTCCTCTCGTCCCTCCATGCCCACTGACCATATCTCGGGACTGTTCCCACTGGGGATTGTCTAATCCCTTGCTTTCCCCTTTACTCTCCACACGAGATCCTCTAGGTTTTGTCTTTCTTCACTTTCTGACTCAGTTGCAGCCAACTAGGCCCAGTACTTTGTGTGTGTGTGTTTTATTTTTTATTTTTAAGTCCGAGCTTGCAAAGCAGTGCAGAGATGCGATCAAGGAAGACCTCAAAGAGAGAAGAGCAGAAGTACTGGTAGATGCGGCAGAAGCCGGGAAAAGTATTCGTAACGCCCGCCTGTCCTTCGCCAACTATAAGACCAAGATGACTGCCCTCCGACGTCCTGATGGATCCATCACATCCTCCAGAACGGCAATGGAGAAGATTATCCATGACTTCTACTCAAATCTCTTCGATAGCCATGTCCACTTGCCGACATACCAAATTCCACAGGATGGGTATGTCGTTCCCAACGTTCTCCCTTCCGAAATCCGACACGCCATTTCGTCAGTAAAGAAGCAAACAGCACCCGGCCCAGACAAGGTCAGACCTGAACACCTGAAGAACCTGCCGTCAGTACTCATCAATACACTGGCTCGGCTCTTCACTCGCTACCTGTCTGAATGCAAGGTTCCATCTCAATGGAAAACCAGCAGGACCGTACTACTGTTCAAGAAGGGAGACATCCATGACATTGGCAACTATCGCCCGATCTGCCTATTGTCTGTCATCTACAAGTTGTTCACTCGAGTCATCCTGAATAGGATTGGCAGAACACTAGATGAAGGACAACCATGTGAGCAAGCAGGGTTCCGCAAAGGATTCAGCACCATCGACCATATCCACATGATAACCAAACTCATTGAGGTTTCTCGGGAGTTCAAGATGCCGCTCTGCTTAACGTTCATTGATTTAAAGAAGGCCTTTGATTCTGTTGAGACGGAAGCGGTCATTGAAGCCCTAGCCAATCAGGGCATTCAAGCCCAATACATCAGGATCCTCCGTGAGCTGTATTGCGGATTCACTACCAGGATCTCACCATTCTACAAAGAAGTGATCATTGATGTCAAGAGAGGGGTGCGGCAGGGTGATACCATTTCACCGAAACTCTTCAGTGCCACCCTCGAGAACATCATGCGACGACTGGAATGGGAAGGAATGGGAGTGAAGATAGATGGTCGGCAACTACACCACCTCCGCTTTGCTGATGACATTGTTTTAATAACACCAAACATCAGCCAAGCGGCACAAATGCTGGCCGACTTTGACCGTGAGTGTGGAAAGGTAGGACTACAGCTGAATCTTACGAAGACAATGTTTATGAGAAACAGCCTTGTTCCTGACGCCCCATTCGCTCTCAATGGAACGACCATCTCCGAATGCAACAGCTATGTGTACCTAGGTCGAGAGGTCAACATGACAAATGACCTGGCACCCGAGCTGCGCAGGAGGAAGAGAGCGGCTTGGAACGCCTTCAAGAACGTCGAAGAAATAGCTAAGAGGACGAAGAACCTCCGGCTCCGGGCACATCTCTTTGATTCCACTGTTCTTCCTGCATTAACATATGCCTCAGAGACCTGGGCCCTACGCAAACAAGATGAGAACGCCATTCAGGTCTCCCAAAGAAGAATAGAAAAAGCTATGCTTGGAATATCACGTTTCACTCAAATGAGAGAACGAATCCGGAGTTCTGACATCCGTCGACGATCAAAGATCAGGGACGCTGTCTCATATGCCAAGGTATCGAAAATCAGATGGGCTGGCCACGTAATGAGATTTAAAGACGACCGTTGGACTAGAGCTGTTACTGATTGGATTCCACGGGATGTCAAGAGACCGCGTGGCCGCCCACCTACCAGATGGTCAGACTTCTTTGTCAAGGTCATGAACGATTGGTTTGAGGCCCTCCATGTTCCCGGAGCGAAGAGATGCCATTGGGCTACACTAGCACGCGACAGGGACAAATGGAGACGTTACTGGCGCCCGCTCGAGCAAATAGACGACTAACGGGAAGTTAAGTGATAATAAGTGATAATTTTTTAAAAATTTTTGGAGTCACCGTGAGATACAGTTACAAAGCTGTTCATGATCGGGTTTCAGTCATACAATGATCCAACAGCCATTCCTCCACCAAGTTCAAGTGTCTCTCTCTCTCTCTCTCTCTCCCCCCCCCCCCCCCATTACTTTGAAGGCACTGCCATGGCTGCTCTGGTCCTCTCCAGAGTGCCTGTCATGTGTCAGTGACAGAAAATGCAATATTTTTGCTTCTGCCTGATACTTTACTAGATCAAGGCCAAGCTGCTCAACCGGAAGCCATATTCAATTCAAGGCTGTTAGCAAACTCTACCTAAAATCGTTTTCTTCACCAGGCTATTGTTTGCCCACTTAAAGAATTCTGCTCAGCTGTGTTGGATTAAAATTTGCCCTCATCACCAGCTTAAGCTTGCTCTCATAGAAAGACATGCAAGTGGCTTCTAAGGAGCCCTATCAGAATACCATTTCTTTAGCAATCTCTGGAAACTCACAGTGGTGGCTCTTCTTACCAGAACTCTCGATATTTAAATCAATGCAATCTGGCTACGGTGCTCAAGAGAGCCGTGACTTAATCCTCTCTCGCGGCCTATAAATCTGTCTCTTTGCAACTCTGACAAACGCCTCACATCCAGACTGGCTCTTTGTAAGAGGTCAAGTGTGTTCTGTCCACCTTTCCCAGTATTGCTCCATGCAGCTTAGTTATGTCCTTTAAGTTATCGGCACGATGGGGCTTATGAATTCTAAGCAAATGTATAAATAATATTTATACGTACTAAAAGCCTGATTAAATCAAGGACAGAAACGGAAGCTGTGTTCATGTTCAAGCATTTAGAAATATGCCCTTAATAAGAGGGTGGCAAAACTTCTACTGACATAATCTTGAAGTTGTAACGATCTCCATCCTAACCCCAGGCCTGTTTTCTGCATCTGGGAGTTTGGCTGACTGTGTTCTAGGACTTTACTCTGGCCAGGGAACACCACGCCAGGGAGGCCAGGGTTAGTGTGGCTTGGTCCAAGCTCAGCAGCGCCCATGAAACCACAGCACCAGGGCACCATTAACTCATATCGAACTTATTCGATCTGCTGATCGAATTCCAAGGAAGCTATGGGACTAAATTCACACCTGCAAACATTTCACCTGGAAAGCAGCAAGAGCGGGGTTAGTGCAGACTGGCTGTGATTCCAAGTGAGTTTGTTTGGGCCTTTGCTTTTGGAAACGACACTGTTTACCTAAAAGAGTACTGGTATCAGAAACTCACAAAAATCCAGCATGGAATTCAGTACCTCTTAAGGCACCAAAATCCGGCTCACTGGGCAACCTACCAAAGTGGAAAGGCCACTGCCGCTCTGGTGGACGTCTCCTGGACTCTCCTCTAATGGGCTCCCAATTACTTTTCCTCTTAGTTTCTTTCATGGCAATTTATATGCGCACACCAGCTCATCTTGTTCTGAGATTCTGGAGACCACAGATTTAATGCCACCTCAAATTAAGTTCATTTTGTTGCATTAATGAATCTTTTCTAATAAGCTACGTGCCACTCATTTGTGAATTAACTCACAGACTACTCACTCATGCTTCTGCTTCTAATGCACTGCTCTATTCTAGTGCCAAACCCTTACTTTCTTTCTTAAAATCCAATAAGCAGTACAAAAAATTGACAAGAGAATTGACATAAAAATAGGTCCTCGGCAATATGAAGAATGACAGTCCATTTGAAAGCAGTAAGACCCATACGCATTTAACTAGGCATTTGGGGAAGAATAAGCTATTCCCATCTGGAAAACTGGTTCTTAACCCTTCCAAGGCACCTGAATTATTATTTGTGTTTATGTGTGAGGTACCAGTGATCAAACCCATGGTCTCACACATGCGAGACACATTGCTGGGCCAGAATCACTGTTGCCTTCCACCTTTCAATGTGAATTTTCTAAAATGCAATTCGTCCAGTATGAACTTGAATATGTCACTTAATTCCACAGCTTCCTGGCATCAGCACAGATGGAGGCATGTGGCTCCGTTGAAGCAGGTGCCTCTGGGTGGCACCTGGGACTGAGACCACCCCAGTGCTGTGGCCTGTCACCAGGAGAACAGGAGGATCCTTGGAACTGGCGGAGGCTGCTCAGGAGATCACGGCCTTGGGCTCTACAGACTTTTGTTTGGATGTTCACAACACCCCACTTTTCTCTTCTATCTGAAGGAACTCGGAGTGCTGCTGAGAAACACAGACTTGCCAATGAGAACCTGCATTTTCCCCAGGTGCTCAGGGGTGGGGGTGTGCTCATGCACGTCTGGCCAGGCTGGCTGGCTGGTGAAAGAGTGCTGGGCCCCATCCTGAGTCAGCAGGTCCAGACCGTGGCCTGGGAGTCTGCCTCTGAAGCACTCGCTTGCTAGCACCTAGCTTCTGGAAACATGGGGGCGGGAGGTGACTTTGAATTATGCTTTAGCAAGTGGAAACAAACATAAACAAATGGGACTATGTTAAACTAAGAAGCTTCTGCACCTCAAAAGAAACAGTGACCAAAATACAGAGAGCCCATAGAATGGGAAAGAAAATTTACCCAATACCCATCAGATAAGGGGTTAATATCCAGGATATATAGACACTAGTAGATTGTACAAGAAAAAAAATCTCCAGCCCCATCAAAAATGGGTGGAAGAAATGAACAGAAACTTCCTCAAAAAAGAAATGCAAATGGCCAAAAGGCACATGAAAAATGTTCTACATCGCTAAGCATCAGGGAGATGCAAATCAAAACAACAAACAGCTATCATCTCATACCACACAGACTGGCACACATCGAAAAGAACAAGAACAACCAGTGCTGGTGCAGATGTGGGGAGAAGGTTGTTGGTGGGAATGCTGACTGGTCAAGCTTTTTTGGAAAAAAGTATGGGCATGCCTTGAAAAACTAAAAATTGAGCTTCGTATGACCCTCACAATACCACTTCTGGGAACATATTCCGAGGCTGCAAAAAAGCACAGTAGAAATGGCATCTGCACCTGTATGTTCACTGCAGCACTGCTCACAATAGCCAGAATCTGGAAACAACCTGAGTACCCGAGAAAAGATGACTGCTTAAAGAAACTTTGGTACATCTACTCAATGGAATACTATGCAGCTGTCAGGAGAGATGAAGTCATGAACTTTGCTTATAAATGGATAAGACATGGAGAGTATCATGCTAAGTGAAATGAGTCAGAAAGAGAGGGACAGACATAGAAGGACTGCACTCATTTGTGGAGTATAAAACAACATAACATGAGGCTGACACCTAAGGACAGTAGATACACAGGACAGATAGATTGCTCCATAGCTGGAAGCCTGCCTCATGGGCAAAGGGGACAAGGCAGCTGGAGTAGAGAAGGGATCGCTAAGAAAAAGATGGCTGGAGGAATCGGTCGGGATGGGAGATGTGTGCAGAAAGTAGATAAAGGACCAAACACGATAACCTCTCAGTGTCTGTATTGCAAACCATAATGCCCCAAAGTAGAGAGAGATTGTGGGGAAATCATGTCTGCCATGGAGGAGGGGGAGGGTGGGAAAGGGGGGTGGATATAACCGGGACATTGGTGGTGGGGAATGTGCACTAGTTGAGGGATGGTTGTTTGATCATTGAATGACTGATACTCAAACATGAAAGCTTTGTAACTGTATCTCACGGTGATTCAATAAAAAAAATTTAAAAGAAATATTATGATTTAGAATGCATTTGTTAAACAGATGGGGGTCACTTTAAAAACAAATATTTGCTTTAGGATAAAGTATGCAAATGTTGACTTTGTACCCCTATATGCCCAGGGCATGTGGGCAGTTGAAGAAGCCCAGCTATGCCCTGAAAAGTCCCCAGATATGCATACTTATCACCCCCGTTCCCTGGTAGGCTGACTCAGTGGACAGGAGAGCCGCCCCCATGCACTGGGGATGTTGGCCGGTACTGCAGACCACCTGCGGTCATCTGGATCAGTCCCGCATTGGGCGTTGGGTTCCGGTGCATGCCCTGCTGTCAGCCAGCTGGGCCGAGAGTGTTCCCTGCACCACTCCTGCTGGCCCGGCCCGTGCCTCCACCGTCCGCTGGCTCTTTCCCCTCTGTCTGACTCGCTCTCTGGCTGGCCCTAGCAAGGCCTGCTGGCCCTCTCTTAGCACAAGGGTCACCTCTGGCTGTCGAACACGGGGAGATTCAGGCGCTCCTCTGGCCAGCCTCAGGCCCTCTGGGGACTGAAGCCGTAGGAGGCTGAGCAGGAGATTAAGGGAGCGAGCGTGACCCCCCACAGGTCCCCTGCTGACCAGGGCCACCACGGGACTTGGCCTTCAGAAAGCAAGTAACAGGTAAGGCTGAGGCACCCTGCAGATTCCTCTCTGCCACTGTCCTCAGGCACTTTTCCCCTCAGTGATCTGGGGGTTGGGTGGGGGTTCCTGCAGCCCCGGGTCTAATCCCCTCAGCAGGCCTCATGGTCACACCCCTTCAGAACACCTGACTGAATCCTGATTGCCCGGCAGAGCTCTGTGTCCCAGAGAGGGGGCATTGAAAGCAGAAGGTGGGCCTCAGAGATAGTCCAATAGTGAGGGTGCTTGCCCTGCACGCAGCTGACGACCCGGGTTCGATCCCCGGCACCCCGTTGTGGTCCCTTGAGCACCTCCAGGAGTAATTCCTGAGTGCACAGCCAAGAGTATGCCCTGAGCAATGACAGGTGTAGCCCCCCAAAACAAACCAAATCGAAGTAGAAGGACTAAGAAGCAAAGCGGGTGACAGGAATGAGAGCTCTGGCACAGGGAAGCACCTTGGGGGCGGGGGGGGGGGGAACCTGGCTGTTTCCACTTGTTTGCTTCTATATGTAAGTGGATTAGCATCATTTTGAATTAGGTAATAGTAAAGGACACACACACACACACACACACACACACACACACACACACACCTGCTCACATGCACCTTGTTTGCAATGAACTGGAGGAGCAGCAACGTGATGCCCAGGGCACGCGTTGCCCACAGGAGACCTGGGTTTGATCCCCGGCACTGCCAAAATACATAAATGAACATGGAATCCACGTTTCTACCATCCTTAACTCCCCAGGGCTTTGAATGAGTTAAAAAGGTCACTGACACGATGGCCGTCTCTCACCTGTCTCGTCATCTGCCAGACGCAGTCAATAAACTGGAGGAAGATCGGGGAACGGTCAGCGTCGGCGTGGTTGTCATTGCCGTGGCCCACTCGCTGCAAAGAACAAGAGGTGACAATGTTGGCAGATGCCAGTATTCGGGGCGAGCACCTTTGAGTGCTTGTGCAGGCCAAGGCCTAACCGAGTCCTGGTGCGTGTTGGCTACCGAGACACTCACAGAAGTGAATTCATTCCCAGTACTCTTGGGAAAGCGAACTTCAGGGTGTTGTTTCTACACAGTGATCAATTTCATTTCTCTCTGGAATAGCCGCGAGTTTTAAGCAAACTGTCAGTCGCTTCTCAGTTCAAATGATGGGGTCAGGCGTTGTCACCAAACACAGCGCAATGCTGGTCACCACAAGACTGCTCGCTAGCAGTTCAAAGCGTGTCCCAAAGGTCACCTCCACCAGAAGTTAGGAATTATTTTGGCCACTGTTCAGAAATGTCACCGGAAGTCTGAGTCTCAAGTGAAAGGCTCTATCTTGGAGAATGGCCCACATCTCAACCTGGGATGTGTACCCCAGACTCCCATATCTGGAGAAGCCCATGTTCTCCCTTGAATATGTCATGCTCTAACTCCTTCATTTTCATACTTCTCTAAATAAATCTATTTTACTAGATGACAAAAAATGAAATACAATTAAGTCTGCATGACTCCAAGAAGTTGAGTTTCCCTCCCCGCCCTGAGCAGAGCCCCAGCAGCTGAGGACCTTCAGAACCAGTCACAGCCATGCTGAGACCACTCTTCACACGTCTGGATAAGCCTCATGCATGAAGGAGCCGGCAGAGGAATCCAGGCATGCGAGTCCCGGGGCTGAGATCTCCAAGCCTGCTCGGAACGGGACTGGGCCTTCTCCACACAGATCCCCCATCTTCCAGTAGGTAGGCGTTACACCCACCAGCTGCTGCCGGCGCCAGGTGGTCCCATCAATGGCCAAGACCCAGAGACTATAAAACCCAGCTCCCAAAAGCACATGGCCGCAACATCTTATTATATTGTTTTTACTTTGGAGAACCCGACAGGCTACCGAAAGTATCCTGTCTGGATGGCAGAGTCTGGCAAACTTCCCGTGTCGTACTCAATATGCCAAATACCAGTAACAATGATAGGTCTCATTCTCCTAGCCCTGAAAGAGCATTGAATATGGCTCTTTTAAAATCTCAGGGCTAGGAAGAAGGAGACGTTACTGGTGCCTGCTCGAGGCAATCGACGAACAACAGGATGATCATGATCATGATCGTGACTCCGAGAATCCCCATCTCACTCCTGTGATGGTAAAGAGAGACCACGATCGAGACAGCCTACTCTCATATCTTTGCCAGTTTTACTGATCGAATCCACAGTTGGTATTGCATTTTATACCTTTTGATAGTTTAGATGGTATCAAGCGATTACTGCTAGAAGTTAAGAAGATCATCTCAAATGACAGAACTGACCAAACTGAAAATATCAGCTTAAAGAGCAGCTCAAGACAAGCATATGGAGAGTTCTAATACTCTGCGGACTAAGCAAAAGGATGCAAAAGCGAACATGATGAAGCTGCAAACTCGGCACAAGAGTGAGAAATACTTGGCCTGTGAAGTTCTGCCGTTGGAACAGAGAGCTCGAAACAAGATAACCATGTCAACCACACACCTCAGACAACAGTGCATTGCCTCATCCATTTGAGAGTCTTAACTGTGGTGAAATACGGCGAAGTGACTGTCTGCACCACTTCAAGTGTGAAATGCAGTGGGATTAGGTGCTCAGGTCACCGTTCCTACTACGTGTCCCTCGGTGAAACTGATGTCTGCCCTCATTGAACAACAGTTCCCCATTCTCACCACCTCGACCCCCACCACCCCCACTTTTCTACTCCGAGTCTGCTCGGGATGCGACTGCATGATCCCATGTGTGAGGTGTTTGTCTTTTCCCGACTGCTTTATTTCCCTTTGCACAATGTCTCCAAGTTTCCCCACGCTCTAGCCCATGTTGGTTCCCTTCCTTTGGGAAGCTGAAGTCTCAGTTATTCGCTCACACAGACAGATCACGTGTGTCATGTGACGGTGGACACTTGGGACTGGCCCCTCTGGGCCAGCACGGCTCGTCCTGCCGTGATTACAGGTGTGCCACTGAACCTCTGCTCTTACTTCTGAGAAGTGCAGGTGCTGGAACACAGTCTCTTTTTTTCTTTTTGGGTCACACCCGGCGATCCTCAGGGGTTACTCCTGGCTTTGCACTCAGAAATCACTCCTGGCGGTGCTCGGGGGACCATATGGGATGCTGGGAATCGAACTTGGGTCGGCCGCATGCAAGGCAAACACCCTACCCGCTGTGCTATCCCTCCAGCCCCTGGAACACAGTAATTCTTATTTTTAATTTCTGAGGAACTGCTGCACTGTGTTTCCCCAGAGCTGCATGCAGTGGCTTATCTCTGCCCTCCCCCTTTATAAACTGTATAGAAGTTGCTCTTCAGGAATAATGGCACCCAGGGAACCACTGTGCATGGATGGACAGGTAACAATTCAGGATCAATTCTCTGAACAGACACTCCTCAAACTCCATCAGTGCATGGAAGTCATCCTGTCTGGACCTTAGTACTTCGAGCATTTTTCAGGTGTCTAGCAGAGACCAGGCCCTTGGAGTACCAAGACAAGTAAGACAGTACTCACACCTAGGAATAATTCATTCGTGCTCCAGCTGAGAAAGAAAACCACGCAATGAGGCTTCCACAACGGAGGCAGGTGTGGTGGGACATGTAGGAACAGGTGCGCCTCCAAGGATGGGACAGCAGAGAGGAGGTGGGGAGAAAGTTCCACAGGTCACGGTCAGGGCGGAGATAAACTGGAGGGACAGAGAGGTGCCTGCTTCCTGGGTAGCTGGGACAGAGTCTATGTGCAGGGGGACTGCGGTGGGGACAGCGTGGGGGGCGGTGCTATTCGCAGCTGGGTACACTGAGGCTCAGGGCATAAAGCAAGGGGAGGGAGGTGAGACAAGGCCAGCGAGGGTCAGATCCTGCAGGCCCTCAAAGGCTGTGCTGAAGTGTGCCCACGAGCCTGGGGCCACAGGGAAGCTTACAGTCACACTGGCATATGAGAAGAGGCAACAAAGAAGCCTGCTGGGAGACTGCTGTGACACTTCTCAAGGAGGACACTGCCAGGCCTGAACTTAGGGTGAGACAACACATCTGACACACATGTGTGGGATCGGCTGAGATCACTCTGGGGCTACATTCTGCTCTTGGGAACAAGATCCCAGCACTCAGCCCCTGTGATAGTGCAGTGTGCAGGGGAGGGGTTGTGGCTTGCGGATGACCATCACCAGTTTGATCCTTGGTACTGCATTGCATCTGCAGCACTCCTGGGCGTGGCCCCCCAAACAAACCAAACCAAAACAAACCAATATCCCAGTACTGAACTTGGGAGTCCCCTCAGAGTAAGATGCTGGCTAGAGAGGGAGGGTCCAAAGAAGATAGGCAGAAATTCTAAAGGCTACAGAGGCCCAGGAGCCAAGGGAGGGACTTGCTTCCAGAAGAGAAGACAGACAGCATTAAATGCTCAGGCCCAGTTAGAGAACTGAGCAAGATGGCAGTCCCTGGTAACTGATGAGGGCACTGTCAGGGGAGGGGACTCCAGTGGCCTTCAGTCAGATGAAAAGGGAAACAGCGATAGTGAGTTCCAGGGAGGAACTGCGGCTGCAGAGAGACCGTGGAGAGGGTAGGTACGGCTTTAGGGCTACAGGAACAATGGCGTGTCTCCAAGCAAGGGGAAGGAGCTCTGGGTGGGGAGAGTGAGGCAGGAAGGGTGAGAAAGGGCCTGTGGGGTGACTGATGGAGTGCGGGGCGGGGGAGGGGGGCAAGGACAGGAATTTGCCTGTTTCCGCCCTCGGCTCCCGTGGTCACTGCTGAACTGCTGAGGCCCGGCTGGAGGTACAGTCCATGGCTGAGGTGCCTGCCGTGCGTGTGGCTGGGCCTGCTTGGATTCCTGGCCCTGCACAGGGTTCCCCGGCACTGCCGGGAATGAATCCTGAGCACAGAGCCAGGATTAAGTCCTGAGCACTGCTAGGTGTGGATCCTCCTCCAGCCCCTTCCCCTCCAGAAAGAAATGCTGGTTTAATCCTAACTAGGGGGTGGCCTTGGGCTCACAGCCTTCAAGCCTCAGTTTTCCCATGGTGAGGGGCTGTTTTTGCCTCTCTGGCCCATGGCAGGTGAAATCAGGAGCTACCGCACTCATGCTTCTCCACTGAACCCGACCTTCATGGATAGCGAAGTCACCAAACAGCTCCCGGTCACAGTTAAACCAGCAGGAGCTGAAATGGCCCCTGTACTTCACACAGGCAAGGTCTGCCCTGAGCATGTGACACAGAAACTCGGTGTCCCCCGTCAGGAAGCCAAGGCCACCGTCTGCGGCTCCGGCGACAGTCTGCACAGGGCATGTGGTATCTCCTCCCAGCAGCGGGGGCACCATGGCATATGCAGTGTCCCCTTCTTGCCTTCCTCCTTTCTCCAGATGAATGCCAAGGGGGTTAGGGCACGCCAGGATATGACTTAGATGCATCCCCAAGGGCTCAGTGATGCAGATTTCGAATCAAACACACACAGCATCCGACACTTTTGGACCCATCAATCAGTTCCACCCCCCGGGTGTAGACTGAAAGTAGGCTGCAATGGGGTGAAATGTGTCCCCCTACCCCCATTGGTGTGGAAGCCTAGTGCGCATCTCTGAATGGACTTCAAAGGATGACTGGTGAGAATGAAACTGTCAGCAGGGCCTGTGCATAGACATGGGGGCAGAGATACCAGGGATGCTCTCCAGAGGAGTCACAGTAAACAAGCAAAGATGCATTGTGCCAGTCTGGACCGCAGACTTCCAGCCCCCGGACCCCTGACGCCAACTACTTGGGATGCTTCTCCGCTCACCCGTTGTTGGTACTCTGCTCCAAAAAATTTGCAGAGCAGTGAGGGATCAGAGCAGCATTAGTCACAGACTCTGCAGACAGAACAGTCCACTCGCCCACTGATGGCCAAGGGACTGACAAAACGTGGCATTGACATCCAGCGACATTCTGTTCGGCCATGAAAAGGGCGGAAATGTTGATGGATGCCCCAACGTGGATGAACCGTGAGGATGTTAGGTGGGGGGCAACAGAGAGTTGGAGGAACACAGATGCTCTGGGTTCTATTGCCTGCAGCTCCCCAAAAGCACAGCCTGACGGTGGGTGGAGGCCAGGAGCTTGGGAGACAGGGCTAGGGAGGAGCTGTGATGGACTATGGGGTGTCTGCTCTGGATGATGACGTGTGTTCAAACTAGAAAGAGGGCCGTCTGCACAGTACTGCCAGTGGACTTACATGCCATGGGCTGCACACCTTCCAATCATTCACTTGGTGCTCCTGAAGCTCACCACGCTATTTTAAAGCATATCCACATAGCCACGAAGGGATACACTGCACCAGTGATGTTCAATCGTGACCACTTGGGTCTGCTAGAGAGCTGGGGTCTGCTAGAGAGTGTTGGGGATGATCCCATGCCTCCAGTCACACAGGCAAATATGCACCCTATCACCTCAACTTACCAATGCAAAGCTATGTCCGAAGCTTATCCACTCCTTCTCTATAAGAGTCTCGAACCCTTTGATGGTGCGGTAATAACTGTCCAACATCAGCATCGCCAGTGACGTCAGCTGGGCTGTGCGGTCCCAACCATCGCTGCAGTGGACCACCACGGAGGTTTTCCCAGATTCAATTTTGTCCGCAATTCTTACTGCTCCTGCAAGAAGCATCTTCAGAAAATAACACACGTTAGACCAGGCTTCATTTGCTTTCTTTTACAATGAAAAGAAGTCTGAGGGGTGCTGTTAGAAGTTCGCATCAACGAGCCAAAAAAGAATACATTCAATTGGGAGAAATGTCAGCATCATGAGGGGGGGTAAAAAAACAAACATACAACAAAAAAAAACTTCAAAGGCACACACAAAAAAACTTCAAAGAAAAAGGGCCACCAATGAAAACACTGACACGAGACCAGCCTGGACCCTCTTTATTAGTTTTAAGTTATAGAAGTGCGTGGCCGTATTTGCGGCCGCGCGACATCTTATCATCTCATTCCTACTTTGGACAAACTGGCAGACTACCGAATGTAGCCTGCCCACACGGCAGAGTCTGGCAAACTCCCCGTGGTGTCCCCAATATGCCAAATACCAGTAACAATGAAGGGTCTCATTCTCCTAACTCTGAAAGAGCCTTGAATATGGCACTTAAAAAAAAAATCTCAGGGCTAGGACGAAGGAGACGTTACTGGGGCCTGCTCGAGGCAATCGACGAATAACAGGATGGTTGTGACTGATTGATTGTGAAGTTATAGAAGCTGCCCCCTTCCCGCCGGGCTCTGGATGCTGGTTGCAAGAACTAGCACAGGTGGGCTAGGCAACAAGTGTACAGTGACTGGCGATGCTGAGAAGCCACGGGGGACACACAGGGGATTTGCGAGTCTGGCGCAGGGAGACAAGCAGGAAGCGCTCCTTACCCGTATGTACTCCAGCCAGTGTGTCCCATCCACACTGGACAGCCACCGGGTCTCATCGATGGACGGGTACACAATCTCCTTAAGCTTGCGCAGTGACTCTCGCATCACGTGGATGTTGTGGATCTCCAGGAACACGAGCTCGGCGTTGGGGTAGGCACTTTCACTTTCGTAGCCCCCGCCCTTTGCCTGTGGGAGACAAGACAGGCCCCGCTCAGCAGTGGCAACTTGGCTTCTTCCCGCTGGTGCCGGATGGAGGCTGTCCAAGCAGCAACCAAAGCATCTCCTCCATCTCTGTCAGTCTCTGGTGGCTGGAGGACAAGCGTCACATGCCAAGTGGCTTCACAGGACAGCGTGTCTTCTCTCCAGCTCCAGAAGATGAGTAGGAGGGAAGTGAGGGTTTTGGCAGGGCTGCGTTCCCTCAGAGCCTCCTTAGGGCAGCCAACTGGGTCTCTTCCAGGTTCCGCGGCCCCAGGTAGTCTTGGTTCACAGGCATCAGACTGGCTCTCATTGTTGCGGCCTGCTGTGTCTGCGGACCTTCTTTAGAGCTCTTGTTTTGGTTTGGGGGCCATACACGCAGTGCTCAGGAGTTATTCCTGGCTCTGTGTTCAGGGATCACTCCCAGACGGCTCAGGGACCAGAAAGGATGCCAGAGATTGAACCAGGGTTGGCCGTGTGCAAGGCAAATGCCCTCCCCACTGTCCTATTGCTCCGGCCTCTGTCCCTCCTCTTCTTAGGACACTAGCCTAAGAGCCCATGCTAGCTTAGCTTGACCTCAACTTGATTCCATTTGCAAACATGCCATTTTTAAAAAGGCCACGTGGACAGATGCCAAGATGGAGGACTTTGATATTTTTCCTTGAGGACACAATTCAACCCCTAAGAATCTGGCCATTGTCCTTTTTTTTTTTTTCCTGTTCTGTTTTTTGAACCACACCCAGATGTGCCCAGGGCTTACTCCTGGCTCTGTGCATTTAGGACGAGTATCAGTTTTTCACGTCATTGACAACTGCATCTTACTCAAGCTGAATGAGATCTAAAAGTTCTGCTAATACCATCTGAGCTGGAGCGATAGCACAACGGTAGGGTGTTTGCCTTGCACGCGGTCGGCCTGTACGAGCCATGTTCGATTCCTCTGCCCCTCTTGGAGAGCCTGGCAAGCTGCCGAGAGTATCTTGCCCTCACAGCAAAGCCTGGCAAGCTATCCATGATGTATTCAATATGCCAAACACAGTAACAACAAGTCTCACAATGGAGACGTTACTGGGCCCGCTCGAGCAAATTAATGAACAACTGGATGACAGTGCTAATACCACCTATCTGGATGGAGATAGCTGTGCTTCCATGAAAGTTCTGTACAATAAGAAATTGCAGGTCCTAGATGATAAGTTTTATGCAATTTAAGTGAAATAAAACGCAAAGGCAGGGGCCAGGGAGTTGGATCAAGGGCGAGTACTTATGCTTTGTTTGTGGGAGGCGTGGGTTTGATACCTGGTACCCCATGACTGTCTGAACACAACCAGGAGCAACCCCCATGCAACTGACTGGGCAACAGCCCCTGAGTCTCACCGGACGTGGCCTTAAAAGCTCAAAGCAAAACCAACCAACCAACCAACCAGCAAACACCAAAGGAGGAAGAGAAAGAAAATGTAGGGCTGAGGAGGTAGAGTTAAAGCACTTGATTCTGATGCCCAGCATGGAAAATGGTCCCTGAGCCCCAGGGCAGTGATGCCTGAGCACAGAGTCAGGAATAGGCCCTAAGTAGTGTAGTGTTGGTCACAACCCAGTCAAGGAGTGTTTGTAATAAAGGGACAGAGATCCACTCTTGGTGACAAAACCTGGCAGCTAATTAGCTTTCAGTCTGGAGAGAGCAACCCTTAGCTCACACCCATGTTGAGGATGTAAAGAAAGTGGCACCCCAAGACATTGCTGGCAGGAAGTTAGCAACTACGGAGTCTGTGGGGAGAAAGTTTGGTGGTTCCTCACAAAGAGGAACGGAGTATTACTATGCAAATCAGCAACTCACTCCCACAGAACTGCAAGAGGTATTCACCCATGCACCTGCACATGAAGGAGTGGAGCATCATGGCCACAAGGGGCAAGAAAGTTCAACAGCCATGGACCAATGTTGATAAATGTGGCCATGTGCCGGAATCATTGGGAGCTAAGATTGAGACTCTGAATGAGGGTCTGCTGGCCCCGGAGATAGTCTAGAGGTTAAGGAACAGGCCCTGGCTTGCTCCCCAGAACCACACGATCCCCTGACCCAGAGGCCCCGGGTCCTTCACACTGAATCTCCTACCCAGGTGGCCAGGAAGGTTCCCTCCCCACAACCTTCTTTTTCAATGAGATCCTGGTGGACAAGGCTTACCAACCCTTGCTGAAAGAGGCCAGAGCAGACAGACGGCACGTATCGGGCACGTCCAGATCAGGCCAAGCCATTCAAGGTCAGAGATGAGAGGCAACTGGGGTGGCAGGTGGGAGGAACGAGCAAGACACATAGGAACAGGAAGCCACAGAGCCTTCTGGAATGAGACGGTGGCAGCCGCTGCCACCTTGGAAGCCACAGGACAGTACAGTTGGGGAAGGTGGCTGAGTTTCAGGTTGTGTGACTGCTACCTCGCTCAAAAGAAACATTCTGTGAAATAGAGGAAGTGTTCGGTCCCCAGTGGCTTTGAATGCTCAGCCCAGAGCAAATGGCTGAGATATGTCAAGGAAGGGAGAAGAACAGCTCTCAAGGCACGTGACCAGTGGCGTGGGGGAGGGCCCGCGGGGCTACATGAGCAGGCCTGGAGCTGGGAGGGCACGTCAGGAAGGACCGGCAGTGGGAGGAAGGCCATGTGCATGGGTGCTTGAGATGGGTGCCAACGGCACTTCCCAAGACGTGGGTAAGCAGGGGGCAGAGCACACATGGGCAGCAGTGATGGTGATGGCTGAGGCAAAGAGCGGAAGGTGCAGTGCAGGGGTGCTCCCAGCACAGGAGAATGGGGAGGAGCTCCTAGTGGCCGCATGGGCAGAAGGAGGTGGGTGGAACCTTCTGCAGTAGGCACAGGTCACACTCACGGAGCATTGGGCTGAAGGAAGTACAAGGCAGTAGAGTGACACATCTGACCACAGACACAAGCCCAGGACGAACACGGTGGCAGATGTGGCACAGGAAACAGGTGGCACAAAGGGGCCAGTGACACCCATGGGTCTGGGCTAGGTGACCCAAGAGATGGTGGCATGTTACCAGGACTCGGTCTGGGGCGTAGTGAGCACCAGGAAGGAGGCATTCAAGTGGAGAGTGCAGCGGTGGGCACGGGGGTCTCACTGTGACCTCCAGAGTGAAGCTTCAGAGGGAAGGCTCAGTTGGCCTCGTGGGTGTTAGGCCCCAAGTCTGACGCCCCATCACAGCCCCGGAAGCGAGTGACACTAGAGCTTGTCCAAGCAGGCAGCCAGGGCACGAGGCTGGCCACCACGCCAGGATGGGAGAAAATTACGGAGTAGAGGGGCCAAGTCTCAAAGAGGAAGTGAACAGAGGCTGGGGACCCTGAGCAGGAGGGCTTCGCCTGCAAAGCCAGGGCAGCAGACCTCGGCGCCACGTCCGCGGCCTGCAGGAATACTCTAGAAAGTTGAAGATGCGAGAGCAGCTGCCCCCGGAGCCAGGTATGGGTGACCTACGCAGAACTGCTGGGCCAGCCGGAAATGGGATCCAGTGAACAGGGCTGCATCCCCAAGAGCTAGCCCCTCCAGGTTGGAAAGCACCAAAGCTCGCACCAGGAGAGGACCCCCACCTGTCCGGAAGCGGGACAGTGAACAAAAGAGAAGACACTCAGGGCGGGTGGGCTGAGAGAAAGCAGCAGGGTGGCGAGGCCGGCTGGACCATTCTCCATACAAAGGCGGCTAGGCCACTGCAGTCAGGAAACAGTCGCCTGAGCCGGGTGGAGACGGTGTCCATGGATGAAGGGAGGAACCCAGCCTGGAGTGGGGCTTGAAGAGTGCTGAAGGGATGAGGGTGGCAGAGGATGTTGGCCCACACAGGAGAGGCTTTGGGAAGGGGAGCCCCCTGGGCAGTGCTCCGCCATATCTGTTGGCAATCAGTCACTCCCCGGGAAGACGGGAGATACTTCCGCACCCCACAAGGCCCTTCTGAAGGCCGGGCACAGGTGCACAGGGGGCCCCCAGCTCAGCCACTCCCCTTGGCTCCTCCTCCCAAGGCTCCTGGAGAGGGAGAGGCAGCATCGAGGGTGCGAGGGTGCATATGAGAGGACGGCGCACATCTTGGGGCGCGGCCGCAGGCTCATGACGCCACCTCTGTTCCCAAGTCGCTGTGGAACCAGCACCCTCTCTCTGCCTTGTACCTTCAGAGGGGCACTGTGGGGGATGAAACGGCAACAGAATCGGTTACGTAAGTCTCCCTCGCCTTAGCTAATCCGCAGCAAGCCCACAAAGATGCTGGCCCCGCCACGGCCTCCCAGAGTGTCTGCCAGGTACACGGCACAGGGGCTGAGGATGGTCGCCCGGGGAGTCTGTAGGCCGAGGGGAGGCGGCTTGGAGTACAGCCAGGCCTCCAGTTTATCAAGCACTTGAGCACCGAGCAAGTGTGTGTGGCACTGACAGGCACCAGGAGAAGATGGCTAAGGGCAGCTGGTTGCCTGGAAACGGATTACTAAAGATACAAACGAGACAACGAGCAATCAGAAGATGGGGGTCACGGAAGCAGGTACCTGCCAGGGCTCCGAATGTGGATGCAGAGACTAGGCACCTGCACAGATGGAGAAAGAACGAGGCAAGGGGTGCCAAGGAGCCTCAGTACAAGCCAGCCAAGCCAGCTTCAGAAAGTTTTGGGGAGAAAAAAAAACCTTGCTGGCCAGACCCTTGGGAGATCAACTGGTAGTGGAACACTGTTTTCCACTTGCCCCGCCCAGGGCCCAAGAATAATCAGCCAGCCAAGGAGACAGGCCCCTCCACAGCCGAGGGAACCCCGAGGAAGCCCAGCAAGCCGAGCCAGGCCATGCAAGAGGGAACGCAGGGTCCGGGGTTCAGACCAGCATCTGCACCCAGTCCAAGCAGCAGGAAGTGCTCCTGAGAAGCTGAGCGCCGGAAGCCAGAAGCGACAGGCCAAGACCCTCCCCCACAAGCCCCAGAGCCACTCCCCAGCCCTCAGAAGCCTGGCGAGGTTCATCAGTGGGAGCATGAGGGCATTAGGCAATGGGCTGTGGGCAGGTGACAGGGGTTCAAAGTCCCGAGGCAGGGGGTTCCCGCTGGGCTGCAGGCCCTAGGAGACGTGTGACAACGGCTGTCGACAAACCAAGAGGCGGGTCCTCAGCAGACAGTAGACCTTGGTCTTAGACTGCACAGCTTCCGGGGCGGTGGGAGGGTGCGAGGCTGCTGTTCAGAAGCCCCATCGATGGTCCTTCGCCAGAGTAGTGGCTCAATCAGACACCTCACCCTGAGGAATGCCCCGGCATGTAGGACACCGCCCCTCTCTTTGGGGTACCCCCCACTGGAGGGCACTTTCCAGGCTTTGGCACGGAACTCTGATCTCCAGCTCTGCACGGCTGCTCAGGTGGGAGGGACTGTCTCCACTCCCCAGGGGCACTGTGAGGACTTTCATGCGCGCCTCTGGGGCGGGGCTTGGCCTCTCCCATCTGATGCCACTCACGCTCGGCTCTGCTAAGCCCCCACTTCTGCAGCTGTGCGCCTTGGCCCCACATTTAATGCAGAATCAACCGCCACATGGCCTGGGCCGGTTGCTGCCAGTCTGCCCGGGTGCCACTCCTCCCGCGGGAACAGCTGGAGAAGCCCCATGGGGGCCTTCGGGCCCACAGCTGCGGCTGCAGTGCGGCAGATGGCCAGCAGAGGGCAGGCTCGGCACACTGCCACCGGCTGAACCTCCTCCCTGGGGAAGTGCCACCGCTTAGGGTCTGGGCTGAAGAGAAGGGGCGGGACACAGACCGAGCGGCTACGAAATACCAGCACGCTGTCCCCAGCAGCTTATTAGGCTGGAGTCCAGGAGCTCACAATGACACACGCTGTCTGTCCCCAGCGTTGGAGGCCAGTGGTCCCACCTAAGGTGCAGGCAGGCCCGGGTGCCATTGAGGCACCAGGCCCTTGTCTGGGCTTCCGGTGAGGACCCGCCACCTCGGCACTAGCTGGACTGTCACCGCTTCATCCTCTCGGCCTCAGCCCGGGCAGCTGCTGGGCTTCACAGCTCTATTCTGGCGCAGCCACGTGAGCTACAAGCACCTGCAAAACCACTTCCAAAGGGCCAGACAGGCAGGAACATGGGGGGACCCAGTCCAAGCCCACCACAGTTGGCCAAGGTCCAACTGTATACAGTGTACCGCACCATGTCAACAGAGCAGGCGGGGCGGGGTGGGGGAGGGTCCTCTCGCTGATGCAGGGAAGGTCTTTGAATGCCTAACGCCCCTTTTACGGTGGAAGGACTCAACAGAGTTGGAAGCCCTTCATCTGATCAGGAAGCCAGAGGGAACGAGCCCGGCGGGGAGGGGCTGCTCTCTCTGAGGGGCAACTGTCTCACCAGCTCTACTGGCCACCCGGCCCAAGAAGCTCTCGGCAGGGAAGCAGGAAGGAACACTGCATGGCAACAGGCTGGAAAGTGAAGAGCAAAGTCTCTCTCCTTTCAGATGCTGTATATTCACAAAAGCTAACAGGGCCACGGGCAGCCGGCCAGCCCTGGCTGTTTCTTCCACACAGACCCTGCCGTGGCTGAAGTCCCTTGAGACCTGCAGCTTGGGGACCGGGCTGTGTCACAAGCACAGGAATGACTGCATGCAGTACACCAAGCCTGGGGCTCGGCTGCTCTCCTGACATGCTGCAGTACTTGGGCGAATGGTAGGGCAGGGGTGGGCGCCAGGGGAGCGAGAGGACAATGCCCCCTCCCCAAAAGGCAGTCACATCAAGTTGCCAACACCTGTGAATGTGACCCTTCCTGGCAAAAGGGTCTCTGCAGCTATGGTTCCGTTGGACTAGCTGGAGGGGTTGGGGCACTAGTGCCGTCAGAGTGAGACACAGAGAAGGCTGAGTCGAGACGGAGGTGGTGGCTGGGCTGCGGTGGCCACAGCGGCCGAGGCAAGCAGCAGGCCTTGCTGGGGTTCTAGGTCCCAGGCCATGTACTGAACTAGCACAGCAGCATCTGCGCCCGGTCCAGAAACTCGGACACTGCCTGCCAGCCCTCGGCCTGCTCGCCCCCCATCGCCCCAACCTCCCTGGCATGCCAAGCCAGGCAGCAGGCAAGCCACCCGCTGAGGCAACTGTCTGCTGTGGTCATGCAGCCTGCAGGAGGGGACATCAACACGGGGGGGGGGGGGGCGGGAAACACAGAGACTTGCTCAGTTCCTCCAGAGCAGACAGCCTGTCAGAGGAGGCTGGGGACATGGCGGGAGGGCGTTTCTGGGTGCTGTGTCAAGCGGAGATGCTGTTCTACTGCACGGCGCACTGGGGCTCTCATCCTAGGCTGGGAACAGCAAGAGTTCCTACCGGGCCAGGCCGGGGAGCCAAGAGGAGCGAAGTGAACGGAGAATATCCTGTTAATGCAGTGCGGTAAACCCGGTGCTGAAAAGGGAAACCATAAAAAAGGGGGGGGGGGCAAGAAGAAAGGATCTGCCGGGCTGAGAGGGAACCTGGGGACCCTGGTGGAGGGAAGTGACCCTGGTGTAGGGGCTGGTGTGGGGACACTGCGCGCCTGAAACACGATCATGGAGCACTCCGTAACTCTAATTCACGGGGATGCAACCAAAGAAATTTTGAAATACGCATGCCTTTAATTGACTTCATTTACATTTGTTCGAATGCGTCAGAGGAATAAATACATAAGCCTTGATTTTTCTAAAAGAAAAGAAAAGTCAGCAAGTGCCAGCTGCTGAAGCCAGGGCAGGGGACGCGGCGGAGGAGCAAAGCCAGCCCAGCCCGAGCCTGAGAGGCACAGCCACTCGGGGGGGGAGCAGCTGGGAGGGGGTGAAATGGCCTGGAAAGTGACAGAGAGTTGGGACCAGAGCGACAGCCCCGCAAGGAGGGCATTTGCATTGCACGTGGCGGACCCGGGTTCAATCCCTGGCATCCCACAGGGTCCCCTGGGCCTTACTAGGAGTAATTCCTGAGTGCAAGCAGAGCCAGGAATAAGCCTTGAGCATCGCCGGGTGTGACCCCCCCCCAAAAAAAAAGTAAAAAAAAAATGTGAGAGAGCCAAGTGGCTTCCGCTGAGGTTAGCAAGGAGGTCAGCAGGAAACGGGGAGGGCTCGGCCAGGCCTCACATCCGCTGCAGGGACAGGGACACTGGCACTGGGAGGGATGGAGGGAGGGAGGGAAGGAAGGGGCAGCCCGGCGCCCACAAGGGCAGGTCCCATCTGGCTCTTCCCGGGGCCCGCTCCCAGCGGGGGCCCTCTGCTCGCTCCCCCAGCACCCGGGGGACACCTTTGTTCTGCCGTTTCCCCCACGGGGGCTCCTTGCCCATCATTTACACAGGGCCAAGAGGCGCGGCTAGCCCCAGCTCCCTGCCACAGCAGGCCCAAGGCCGGCGTGTGAGGAGGCCCATTAAGGGAAGCGAGATGGTGCAGCCCTTCCCCAGGGGATGGCGGGGCCGGTGGCTGCAAGGTTGCCCTAACCTGGCGCCCTCTCTGGGGATCCAACAGGCGCCCATGTCATGACTGACCGGAGCTCGGCCTTCTGGCCTCCTGTCAGGAAGGGGGCCCCGTTCTAACAAACCTGAGGCGACAGAGGAACTAATCGGGCCGTCGGCATCTTCCCAGGCTCTTCCGGCCTCTCACAACGCTCCATTCAATACTCACTTTGTTCTCTAGGCGACGAGGCCCGCTCAGGGTCTTTGCTTTGACAAGACCGTGAAGCAGCCTCAAGAGGGCAGGGAGAGGAGCTCCGGGGGCGACCCAACTACACAGCAATTGACACACACGGTAGGACAGACCCCCGCTGCACAGTGGGTGGGGAATGTACCTTGTTAGTATCAGCGACACTGTTCTGCCGGGCATCAAAGATGACTAGTTTGTGGGACTGTGCGTTAGCGTCCATTATGGTTTGCAAGTATTTTTCATCTTCTTTGCAGCGTTTATCGTTGGGACCCACAAGTGGCTGGCTGCAACGGGTAATCGTTGCCTGACTTTCTGGATGAATCCAGGACAGCACCTAGCATTTATAAGCGACCCACATTAGTTCAGGTCCCCGAGATAATAAGCGCTCCGACGACCAGGTTGTGAAAACAAGCTCTCGGTCCCGGCACACTTTTGCATGCTTTCTTGCAAGGGAAGAGGGTCAGGCCCGTCCCAACATGAGAATGGCCGTGGGATGACACGTTCACCAGCCTGACTAGATGCGCTCTAGACCCAGGTACCTCCCCGGTACGCCTACGATTCCCAGGAACGTGGAAGTGAAGTTCAGCTTTTGCTGCTGTTGAGTCTTTCAACTCAACAGATGGACCAGTAACAAGTCTCACAATGGAGCCGTTACTGGTGTTTGCTCGTGCCAACTGATGGACAACGGGAGGACAGTGCTACAGTGCTACTGATTTAAAATATCTCTGTGTCGACAACCGACAGAGGAGCACCAGGCGGCCCAAATGAATGCACGGTCCCGAATCCAGTCTGAGTCTATGCCCCCGAATACTCCTATTTTTCTTCCTGGGACCAGGAGACTTAGGATTAAAGCAGACTGTGAACTCTGGGCACAAAGATGCTCACAGTTGCCAAGACTATGGTCATAGGATCACAGGTGGGTGCATCTGTCCAAACGGAAACTGTACATATTAAATATACACAGCAGTTTCCTACCAATTAAATCTCAATAAAGCTGTTAAAAGCTTCACCCACGGGCTGGAGGGGTAGTATAGGGATTAAAGCACTTACCCTGCAACCCACCCACCCCGATTCAAATCCCAGACACCACACCCCAAGGCCTAGTAGGAGTCATTCCTGAATCCACAGCCAGGAACAGCCCCGAGAATAGCCGGATATGGCCCCGAAATGAACAAAACTCTTCAGCCATGTTGGCTGTCCATCCTATTGTGATAAAGGTATGGTTCCACTCAGCACCTAACAAGACATGCACTTCTACTAGGCCTGCCTGGCGAGCCCAGCACGGTCATCTGCTAAGGCCAAGGTGATGCTCTCTCCCCCTCACCCCTCCCTGCCGCCTTCTACTCCAATCCCTTGCACTCAGGAGGGTGAGGAGACTGAGTGGTACATGGGGGTCAGGACACACAGGACATTTATATAACATGGCAGTTCTTGAGAGTCAAAGCTCTGTGTCGGGTTTTAGGCTCTCTTTTCTCTTTTCCATTTAAGTCCCTAGAGTGTTCTCTGTCTCGCTTCTTTCCATTTAAGAGCTGATCAGTGCAAGCGCATAACTAAACAGCAGTGTTTGATGCTTACGGGGACTCTGCCTTTCGCCCGAAAGGCTGCCACTTTTGTAAGGTCATCGTCTTTCACACTGGTTGGCACAACAATGATGGCTGGGTAGGTGTCACATAGTTCATAGTTGCTGTTTACTTTGGATATTTTCCAACTCTCATTTGGCAAACCCTGTTGATGAGAAAAGAAGGAAAGAAGCACATTTGTACACTTTCCAAATGTACAATCACAAACCACACAAAATCCCTATCTTCTGGGATGGAGCGATAGCACAGCGGATAGGGTGTTTGCCTTGCATGCAGCCGACCCGGTTCAATCCCCAGCATCCCATATGGTCCCCCAAGCACCGCCAGGAGTAATTCCTGAGTGCATGAGCAAGGAGTAAACCCTGTGCATCACCGGGTGTGACCCAAAAAGCAAAAAACAAAACGAAACAAAATTCTTATCTTCCAATAAATTCCATAAAAAACAAACAAACAAAAAACTCCATTTAGGATTATAAGGTTCACCTTCTTAAAAGGTTCACCTTTTTACATATTATATTTAGATATTTATCTAACATAATCTATTTCTTGGCATATCAAATACTCTCGGTAGCTTGCCGGGCTCTCCGAGAGGGGCGGAGGAATCGAACTTGGGTCGGCCATGTTGATCGCTTGTAAGGCAAACGCCCTACCGCTGTGCTATCGCTCCAGCCAAACACAGTAACAACAAAATCTCCAATGGAGACGTTACTGGGCCCGCTCGAGCAAATCGAGCAAATCTATTTCTTACCCACTTTTTAAAAATTGAGGAAGCACAAAACTTCCCAAACATACTTAACGACACAAATTAAATACCAGAACCCTATTCTATACATTTATGTCATTTTTAAATTAAAGAATAAGCATGGTATTCCAAGACTCTGGTCTTGGAATATACCCACTATCAATTGAAAATGTTGAAAATACCCACTATCAATCCTTCGGCGAAAGAAACTTCTGACCAATGTTGAAATAAGTCATCTATACCCCCGCGGCAACGTGAGGTGGGGACGAAATGAAAATAATGACAATGCTATTGGGCTATCTCAAAACCCTCGGCAAAGAGCTCCGAGGTGGATGCAGAGCAACTGGGTTATGCACCACCCTGGAAATCTCATTGCAGTCATGGGTTTGGGTCCTCGCTCATCACTTCGCCACCGGCACACCTAATCAGAACCAGCTGGCTGCTTTGCCTTTTAGCAGAGCTCCTTGACGGTGGAGCACAGTCACAGGGCTTCGGGAGCTGAAGAATGTTCAGGTTAGGGAGCGCAATCCTCCGTGCCACTGCACTGCAAACATTTCTTCTCCATTACATTTCTAACCTTTTCGGGAGGAACGAGATGTCACGTCGCAGAAGTTCAGCTTGATAAACAACATACTTTACCTGTCTCTTGTATTCGGATACTGGATCATACACTTTCCATCCGTTCGTTGGAAATTTTTCTTTATAGTTGAATGCAAATAGCGTCTGGATTTGAAACACAAAGGCCTCCTGTTACTAGTTCTTTCCTGCATCATGGGCCCAATCCTAAAGCACATCGTTCAGTGGGATGCTGGTGGATTTCAAGTCCTATTTCAATCTGTAAATATTGAAGCAGCCAAGTGGCAGCTTTGCCTAAGCAATGATTATGCACAGATTGACAAATATTCTATGAGTTACCCACAGAAAGGGGAAAAAGGAGGAAGAAAACCTCTGAAAAGGGAACAGTTCAACAGGAGAAGTGAGAGGAGTGCTCACGTGCTTGTGATGGGATGGAGTGGATTAGATCCCCCGGCACCAAATCATCCCCAGCACTGGGGGAAGCCAACTCCGAGCACTGAATTGGGAGTAGCCACTGAGCACCACTGGGGATGGACCAGAAACTAAAAAGACCATGAAATATTTGGACTCCCACAAAGGCATGCAAAAATGTTGGGGTTGTATTTGGGTTTGTTTGGGTTTTTTGTTTTTTGGCATACTTACCTGCCCATTGGAAAGAGGGAAGGCGTGTTTGTTGAGGTTTTCAAATATCCCCAATTTGCTCTGTTCTTCCTGTTTATAAGCAAGCCGTAGGTTCCTCATATCCTATTAAGTAATTAGCAAAATTCATCTCGTCAATGCGCATCGAGTGCCTACTCACCAGACACTGTGCTATACCACGGTCCACGGTCCTCCCGTTGTTCATCGATTTGCTCGAGCAGGCCCAGTAACGTCTCCATCATGAGACTTCTTGTTACTGTGTTTGGCATATCGAATACATCACGGGGAGCTTGCCAGGCTTTGCCGTGTGGGCGAGATACTCTCGGTAGCTTGCCGGGCTCTCGAGAGGGGCGGAGGAATCGAACTCGGGTCGGCCATGTTGGCTGCGTGCAAGGCAAACGCCCTACCGCTGTGCTATCGCTCCAGCCCACCATGCTATACAGAGATGAGTAAAATCCTTCCATTCCTTTCTCCTGCTGCCTTGTGCCAGCCAACCCATGGTGATTGGGGCTGGTGCAATAGCACAGCGTATAGGGAGTTTGCCTTGCATGCGGCCAAACCTGGTTCGATTCCCAGCATCCCATATGGTCCCTGAGCACCGCCAGGAGTAATTCCTGAGTGCATGAGCCAGGAGTAACCCCTGTACATCACCGGGTGTGACCAAAAAAGCAAAAACAAAAAAAAAAACACGGTGATTAACGCCTCCCACCAGGTTTAACTTGAGGAAATTGGAACCAAGTGGACATGTTCGGGGGGAAATCTCATCTACAAACACTCAGGTCGGGGTATTCAAACTGGGCTGTGGGGTCCTCGTTGATCTGAAGATGCCCCCACCATGATGACATGGTAGCATCTGTAGCACACCTTAAGCAGAAGAAAGGTTTCTCCTGTTCTCATGGCCATGCGCCAGCATCACAGGGCGACCTGAACAACTTCCTGCCACAAATGACACTGCTGCTTCTCCAGCTCACAGATGCAGACAGTGCCACCAGCCTGGCACTCCCAGGATGGTACGAGAGAAAAGCCGCTGTGGTGGTGAGGCCAGTTCTGGGGGTGCACTTCTCTCCCAGGGCTGCTTTGACTCATTCTCCCCTTGACTGTTTTCGTGACCACCTCCAGCAGAGCTTAGGCCAGTGGGGCAGGGATGAGATAAACTTCTTGTGCTGGGGCTGGAGTGATAGCACGGCAGGTGGGGCATTTGCCTTGCATGCGGCCGACCCGGGTTCGATTCCCAGCATCCCATATGGTTCCCCGAGCACCGCCAGGAGTAATTCCTGAGTGCATGAGCCAGGAGGAACCCCTGTGCATCGCTGGGTGTGACCCAAAAAGAGAAAAAAAAACCTGCTTGTGCCTGGCAGTGCCCGGGGACTGGCAGGGTCACACTGGCTGTGGGGGATCAAACGTATGCACTGCTCCGACATCTTTCTGGGCTCCTTTTCATTTGGGTCACGCAAGACAGGCACTTGACCACTGAGCCACACCTTCCAGCCCTGGAGTCCTACGGAAATCTGTGCCGTTAGCCACACACACGCAAATCTCCTCTAGGCCTAGGAAGACAATTACAGGAGCCGGGCCGCAAATTGCATGCGCCTAACCCCAGTGATTCCTGCACCACACCTTCCCGAGCGCTACCAGAGCAGCTGGGCACCATTAGCCCTGGCACTGCAGAGTCGTCCCCGCCCTCACACTCAATGCCCAGCCCACAGAGAGGAGGAACACTGCGAGGGGGCCCCAGCCTCCATGATCGGAAGCCACGCCGCAAAAAAAAAAAAAAATCCCTTTCTTGAGGGCAGTGATACAGCCAATGTCAGGCGTGTGTGTCGCCCTGGGCTCCATCCCCGGCAACGTGTGGGCTCAAGTGCCGCCAGGTGTGCCCCTCCCCAGCGAAAAACCCAGAAAGAACCACAAACAAATGAGAGTGAGAGCAACCCGGAAATGAGGGAATGATTGTGAGGTTGTAATTATTACAGAGAAAGAAAGGAGGCAATTACATAAATTAAATGGCCATCAATAGGGGCTGACTAAATAAACAGCCTCGCAACTACTCTAACTGGACTGCGACAAAGACCCGGCAGCTCTGCCTGGACTGCTAGAGAACGGGGGTCCCACAAGGCCACTCCGGAGAGAGGGAGAAAGGCCGGACCGTCTATACACCCCTGCTTGTGTTGCCCAGTTTTACCTACGTGCGAGTGTACAGTGATTCTGTGGCAACCCAAACAGGGTGCTGGGCATTAGGTGGAGGGACAGTCCCTTTCCGTACACCCTCCCTTTGTGTCTCTGAAGATGGGGGGCCCCTGCTTAGAAAAACAAACCCCACACCTTGCCAGCTCTGAGGACATTGCTGGGAGGGCCTGGCCACTCTGGGCTGCAAAATGTTTGTAAGTGGGTGTCAGCGAATGCTCATCCCTGCCGGACAAAAGCTCTTAGGCAAACAGCCCCTGAGCCAAGTGCCAAGCGTGCCTGCCTCCCAGCGACACAGACTACCCAACCCTGTACCCTTTGGTGGCTGGTGGAGCTGATCTGTTCCTAAAGGCGGCAGAATCCAGGGAGAGAGGGTGTGCAGTGCCATGTGAGTGCAGAGGCAACTGAGGGAGAGGAAGCAACTTAGAGGACAGGAGGGCGGGGTGGGGGCAGGGTCAGAGTGGGGCGGGGAGGGCCTGGCTCAGCCTGTGCCCACAGGCCTGGGGGGCTTTTCCCCCTTACCTGTGCACAGCAGGGCTCTCCACAGCTCAGCAGGCCCGTGGCCCGGGCCCGCACTGCACTGCCTGCCGTGTCCACCCTCTACGCTAAGTTCTGCTACCACTTCGACTGTTATCTGGGGAGCGGACGCTGGCCCCAGCAAGACCCTCAGTTTACCAAGGGAGAGCAGCAGCACAGAGCACTTCCTGTCCCTGAAAAAGGAGGCACCTGTGATCGAGGCCACCTGGGGGAGCGAGCGGACAAGATCAAAGGCAGCAGATGAGTAGGGATGTGAGGACTGGACTTGGAAGTTTCAGCAGGACTTCAAGTGGGGGTGCTGTTAAACTGTCCAGGGCAGGAGAAGCCACCCCTGCTGCAGCGTTTCTGCAAGGACTAGTTACCCCACTCACTTCTACCTAACCCACTGCGTGGCGGGCACAGAACGGAAACTGAGCACAGCGTGCGCTAAAGATGTTACCACTCGATGCCTCTTTTGCAGGCCACAGCACCCAAAAGGAGAGAGAGAGAACTAAAGGGAGTGCCCTGCCACAGAGGCAGGGTGAGATGGGGGGATAAGGGGGGTGGGAGGGGTACTGGGATCAGTGGTGGTGGAAAATGGGCACTGGTGGAGAGATGGGTACTCGATCATTGTACAACGGAAACCCAAGCACAAAGATCTGTAAGTCTACAACTGTACCTCATGGTGTTTCACTGATAAAAAAATTTGAGAAAAAAAATAATGGGTGAAGCTAGAGAGATAGCACAGTGGGTAGGGCACTTGCCTTGCATGTGGTTGGTATGGGCTTAATCCCCAGCACTGCATATGGTTCCCCAAGCACTACCACTGAATGCAGAATCAGGAGTAAGCCCTGAGCACCTCTGAGCATGCTCCCAGTTGAAGAAGGAAAGAAAGAACAATAGGTAAAAGGAAAGAAAGAAAGAAAGAAAGAAAGAAAGAAAGAAAGAAAGAAAGAAAGAGAGCAAACAGTACCAGCTAATTTTAATATCTATGCTCTTTGATGTAAAGCTGTATTTTATGGGAGAAGCATGCTGAAAGTAGACTATAGATCAAACATGATTGCCACTCGATGCCTCTTTTGCAAACCACAACACCCAAAAGGAGAGAGAGAACAAAAGGGAATGCCCTGCCACAGAGGCAGGGTGGGATGGGGGGATGGGGGTGGGAGGGATACTGGGATGGTGGTGGAAAATGGGCACTGGTGGAGGGATGGGTATTTGATCATTGTATAATCGAAACCCAAGCACAAAAATCTGTAAGTCTACAACTGTACCTCACGGTGTTTCACTAATAAAAAAAAAATTTTTTTTAAAAGAGAGAGAGCCAGTGCGTGAGGCAACCTGCCCTGCACACAGCTGACCCGAGTTCCACACACGAGCCCCAGCACCACAAATGGTGCCCTGAATACCACCAGATGGGATTCCCTGAGCACCACCAGGTGTGCCCCCCAAAACAAAGCAAAGCAAAACAAATCAGAAAAAAAATCACAGCTCATGTGAAAAATTCCAATCTGGCCCAGAACCGTAATCACATTTTTAATCACAGAAGCTATGAATATTGCGGTCCCTTGATGAAACCCCGGGTCATGCACTGCACTGCTCTGCAAATTCTGCTTTCGGCTGGCTTTTTCTTCTCTGTGTGTCGCAGCCCCAGCACCGGGTGACTGAGAGGACCCCTGCGCAGTCCACATTCGTGGGCGCCGCTTCAACAGCAGGTGCTTTCTATGTCAGTGGCCTCCAGAGTGGGGTGCAATTGCTCACACGCTGAAAACTATAATCTTCAGGTGGCTAGGGAGAGCCCCAGGGGCTCTGCCTCTCCCCGCCGCTCCCCAACCCGGGGAGGGGCCGAGGGCCAGGCTGGTTGCTGATCAGCTGCCGTTTAGACCATTCTCCCCACGCGCCTGCCCCAGTCTCTCCGAGCCCCTCATTCGAGTCTCACGCTGCCCCTCATCCCCGTCTCCTCCTGTCTCTCCCACTCATCTCTCCACATCGCAGCCTGAATTCTCGTCTTTCCACACGCCTGCTCCTCCATTCTTCCCCTCCATTCTTCTCCCTCTGTCCCCCTTGCTAGTCTCTCCATGCTCCACCTTGCTGCCCTGGTCTCTCTCCCCGTCTCTCCCCAACTCCCAGCACTGGGGGTAGTCACCCCACCCCATCATCCAGTAGCACAATCAACATATGAAAGTCCTTCTTCCGCTCAAGGGCAAAATACCTTGTAGGGGTGTTTCTCCTCTCAGTAGTCCAATAACTTAATTAACACCTTAATTCTACTTCCTAATATTATTTTGTATGGACACAGTAAGAGATCCATTGAGCTTGTATGGTGGCTCTCCTGGGGACATCTCCCTACAGATCTCAGACTACAGTGCTCAGGCCTGATTAATCATTCCTAACCCTAGGAGAGTCTGAATCTAGTTGTTGCTTTTTGGATCATGACAGAATTTGTCCATGACCATGCTGTTAACTTATAGTTAAGTATTATGGTGCTTTGGCCAGGCCCATTTCCATGCCAGGGTAACTCACCACTTGCTCTGAGTCCATCCAGTCCCTCGTTGGGACCCTGCTTTGGGGGTGCTAGGAAGTAAGGGCAACTGAGGTTTAAGTCGAGAGAACAGATGACCTGGAGTGAATATTATTCGGAGTCAATGAACTCCCAAGTTACAAAAGCATAGCTTTAACTGTCTTCCTGTGTCCATACAAAAAGGATATTGTTCTGAATTAACTATACAAAGGACTTAAGGAGAAGAGAAAAGCAATATTTACAAGTTAACAGAGCACAAAGAAAGAGGTTATAAATAAACACAGAGGAATGGGAGCACTGTGATGGGAGTAACCCAATAAGCTTCCTGTGGCAAGGCGGAAAGGACAAACCAATCTTATCCTACAGAAAACAGCTCCTGGCGGCACACGGCCACTCTCCTATGCCAGGAAAGACTGGGCACACCCTGAAATTTGCCCTTGACTTCATACCTTACCTTGCACACAATCTCAATGCCACAAGAGTTGTCTCCTTGGCTCTGGGCGCCAATCTTCTCGACTCTACTGATCACTCCAAGGGGAACATCCAGGATGAAATGTGGATCCTGGGATGAGAATGAAGATGAAAAATAGTTAAAGTCTGTCAAAGACCACGTGCATTGTTTATTTTGCGAGGGGTTCACACCCAGCGGTTCTTGGGGCGTACTGTTGGCTCTCTGCTCAGAGATCATTCCTGACAGTGCTCAGGGCACATGTGGGGAGCCAGGGAAGAAACCCAGGTTGGCTGTATGCAGGGCAAATGTCCTAACTGCTGTACTATCACTCCGGCCCCCAGAACTTGTTCATTTTAAGATGGCTAGGCACGGACAGTTCTGTCCTTGCTAAGGAATCAGGGCCATGATGGAAAACAAACTTTGCAGAGTATATCCCCAGAACACCACCATCAAGACTTCCCTCTGGATTTCAGCACTATGTAAGCTGCCTTCTTTACAAGAGACCAAGTACTTTCTGGTTTTTTGTTTGCTTGTTTTTGGTTTTGGGCCACACTCAACAGTTTACTCCTGGCTCTGTGTTCAGGAATTCTGCTAAACAGGGCTTGGAGACCATAAGGGGTGCTGGGGATTGAACTTGGGTCAGATGACTGCAAGGCAACTGCCTCACTTGCTGAACTATCTCTCCAACCCCGAGACCAGCTATGTTTGCAAACGTGTAAAACCCAGCCTCTAGTGCTTTCACAGCAGTGTGATTGCCAGGGATCTCTACTTTGTTCAGAAGAGTTTTAAAAGATAGGGCAGGCTTGGAAACTCACCCTCTCGACATTTTTGAAGTACATCTTGAAGTCGGTCACAGTCAGGGTCCCGCTCACAGCTCCCATGAATGGGCAGATGTACATGACATCTTTCACTGGAAGAAAAAGTCTCAAGTAGCAGCTATTGCTATGATCTTGCACATCATTAAACCTTAGCATGAGATTGCAAAGATTTCTATTTCTAATTCTGGTTTCTAAGAATGTTACACTGGTTATTATTTGAAGTAAAGGCATAAATGAATAAGGACAGAAGGACATAATTAAATTTCACTTTAAAACAAAAATTTTGATTTGCTACTTAATGAGGTTTTCGGTTGGGGGGTCTCTTGGTAGGTGTTTTTTTCCAGGTGGCTAACATTCTTCCTGAGTAATAAACTAATCATACCCCAAAACACATTCCTCAAACTCCCCAAACCCTAGGCTACCATTTCATACATTACTGCTACTGAAAACCAATTAAAGCTAAGCACTGTCCCCTGATAAATTCATTAGACATGACAAAAACTAGGACCTTAGCATTTAAGTTGGAGAAGACTTCTTTGCTCAAACTCCTTATCAGCCCCCATACTAATTTTCATTTCTTATTATCCCTGTCAATGCAGCTGGGAACATTTAGGAGTTGATTCCTATGAGCGTTCACACCATTCCTCTGGAATGATAAGAATTACTACAGATAAGCTAGAGTAGAAAAAATTATTCAAATTATATTACACTAAAATTCTCCAAACATTTCCACTAAACTTTTATAGAACTCATTAGGCCGCTGATTAGAGGGGTTCTGGATAAAACTGCACAAAAGCAGCTTGTGACCCATGAGAGGTGCTACTGCTATACTACAGTGTAATAAACGCTATCATCACAAGTCACACAGTAGAGATCCAAGAAAAAGATTCACACAACTCAGCAGGGAAGCAGAGGGGAAGGAGGGCAGACGAAAGGGAGGAAGAAGCGAGGCCAACAGAGGTCAGGGTGGCCGGATGGAAGGGTGCATGAGGGTGCTGGGCCCTGGGAAATGAGGAGACTTGTTAGGCTATGAACATTCACAAACAGCACGGACAACCTCAAGATCCACCAACTGATGGATGGGGATGCCACACGTGGGATCCTGTTGAACAGTATCAAGGAGAGACTGTTGTGCTGTGAATGACAATCAAAGCAATTCTGCTGGGTGGAAGAAACTAGACAAAAGTGAGATTACGTCCAATCAGTATATTCACAGAAATTCTAGAAAAGGAGCCTCGAGAGCACGGGGCCAGGCAGGCAGGCACGGGAGGGCAGGGCTAGTAACAGGCTATGGGGAAGGCTCTGGGAGTGAGGGACACAGCCCTCATCCTGACTGTGCCATCTTCCCTGGTGTGCTGGACACACGAAACCCGTGTGGCTGGCTAACTGGAGCAGCAGCAAAGGCGTGGCAGGATTTGTTCTGCATTTTAAACAGGTCATTCTCAAAGCAGCATGGAGGTCATTCCGAGCAATGCTCGGTCAGGAATGAACGAAGCTGCCAAAGCCAAAGAGCAGAACCACAGCTGAGGACACCCAGTGACAGCAGCACGGGGAAGCCCTGCTAGGAGCGTCCAGCTACACACAAGTCCTGACCAGATGATCTTACCCTGAGCGCCGAGTCCAGGCACAAGCTTTTGTGAGGAAGCCATGAAAGCGGAAGCTAGCGGAAGTGCAGTCCAATGGCCCTGCATCCCCCCACACAGTGCACCACTGCAGAAAGGCCTGGCACTCAGTACCCAGGGTGTGGGCCCTCGGGCTATCACCCTTCTAGAACAGAGAGGCGACATGTGCCCTCTGGTGGAACTAAAATGGAATTCATAAGAAGCTTATGAGTTACTAAGAGTTTTTTTTTTACCAACTTCTAGAAAACATTATTAAAATAGGAGGGGACCAGAGTAATACAGTACAGTGGGTAAAGCATTCTGCCTTGCATGCAGCGGGCCCAGGTTCAATCCCTGGCAACCAATATGTTTCCCTGAGCCCACCAAGAGTAATTCCTGAGCACACGGAGCCAGGAATAACCCCTGAGCACCGCTGGGTGTGGCCCCCAAAACAAAACCAAAAAGACAACTGTCTGGCTGACTCACAAGAGAAAAATAATGTGATGGTTGTTTACAAAATCAATCAATCAATCAATAAAATAGGATATGGCCTTTCCATTTTCCTTGTAGTGAAAAATTGCAACAAAGTGACTTGATGTCATGGGTAGTGTCTCATCAGCCTCCATTAATGAGGAAGAGCAAAGGCTGGGCCCCTCAGTCGGGGCTTAGTTTTCCTGGGTTTCCATGATATTAATAAGAATGAAGAGACAGACTAATCTTGGAGGAGACGTCAAGCCGATGAAACGCTTAGGTTCCGTCTGCCTTCAGGCTGAAAACTCTGGGGCCTCTCAGAGCGGGGTAGGGCAGCCTCCTCTAGGACCCCTCCTGCCAGAAGACCCAGCAGCCACGCCCTCATGCCTGCCTCAGCCAGAGAATTGGCCCAGCTTTACAACTACTGGCAGAGGCAGACGCCATGCAAACGAATCACAGGTCTTCGGTCCTCCTCGGGAGGGGGTGGGTAAGTTCCTGCCCTGCTACAATGCGCATAGCTGCACCACTCCCCACAGCCTCTACTTAGAAACAGCCCAGCTTCTCCACTAGTTTCTGAAGAGGTGCCAATCCGACAAAAATCCAAGGTACACTGGTCTTCGGGCTGAAAACCCTGGGACTCCTTAGGAGGGGGTGGGCCGAGAATCGTCCCAGCTCTACAGATCCTGGAGCTCAGAGCACGTGCTATACCTCCAAATTCCACAACGCTGACGGCACAGCAAAAGAGATGGGAAAGTAGCATAAAAACCCACTAAGCTCAGATAGCAAAATCAGTAACATAGAGGCCCAGCTAGTAGCAAAATAGCACAGTAAATTCTCTGATAAGACTTCAGTAACACCATTGTGAGATATGACAATTTCCACAGTTTTCTTTTACAGAACTATTTTCTGATAATTCCACTTATCCTTTCAATGTAACAAGCAACACAAAATAAATTATTTTGTACCTGCTAAGGCTTGGCAGCGTGGGAAACTGGGCTCAGTGATGGTCGTGGGATTGGTGCTAGAATACCGAGTGCCCCAAACAACTATATTACGGACAGCTTTGTACACCACGGTGTTGAAACGCAGTTAAGGGGGAAAGAGTGAAGAGACCAGCCCTTCTGCGTTCCGATTATGTTGGCCAGGCTTATCTCCTGCATATACACAGCCCGTGCTAACACGTCAGTGCCATTTTGTTTCCTAGATCTCTCCAAGCAAGGGGACTTACCAATGGCTTTAATTGATTCTCCTGGAAAGAGTGGTGCTTCTTCCATCTGGGCCAGCTTATTTCCATCCCGGAGAGCCTGGCAAAGGAAGCCAAACAGAAATCAATTTCAACTTCCCTCTCTCGACCAGGGAAGGATTGTGGTGCTCTGCGCTCTTGCGACAAGGCGACTGAAGCGTGCAAAACGTATGCGCCCCCCCCCCCCGCCCCTCCATGACAGTCTCCAAGCTCAGCATCACAGGACACCATGCTGCATAGTCTAGCAACTTGTTATACAGAGTTCAAGTTCACAGTTAGAAAGCATTAATACAGAAATGGCTGGACATGACAGATACTGTAATCACTACACAGACAGCTATTATAAGGTGCCTCCAGAATTTGAAAGCAAGGGCGGAAAAAAAGTTACCTTCTGAGCATGAAACTAAGACAAATAAAATCAACAGAAGATGTTGGTGCTTAGGCAGCTGTAGAAATGGCCGTCCCTGGGAGAGAGGGTGGGAAACCGGAAGGCTAATTAAAATAGCTAGGGAAGCTCTCGGGGCAGTACCACAGACGTGGAAAGCCCTGAACTGTTGTCTGGCTGCCCAGCTACCTGTGCTGGACTGTGCCCATGCGCAGAGCCGAGGAGCTGGGGACTGGCACCCAGACCAGAACACAAGATTGTGTGCCCTCATGGGGCAGCCGGCAGCATGCCACCCACTGCCATGAAGCAAGTTCTGGCTTCTTGCAAATCAACTTCCAGCCTCACTTGGAAGACTGGAAAGTCAGGTGCCCACATTTCTAAATGTCCAGATTGGCACTGCAGCCCAAGTGACCGGTCTCCAATGAGCTGGGAGGGATGGCACCGATAACCCAGGCTGAAAAAATGGAGCTGGGGAACAGAGTGAGCTCAGGGCCTGCTTCCAAGGTACTGCCACCCCAGGAGATGCGGCCAAGGAAACTGGTGCCTTTCTCCTTGGCATCTCCGACATCATGTGCCATGAATAAGAATAAGGTGTCCAGAGGCCTAGCCATTCCCAAGCTGTGTTTCACAGAGCACTCAATTCCCAAGAGATGCAAATAGGTCTTTTTTGTTTGCAAAGGTTTGGGGAATGCTGGGTTAAAGAATACATGTTTAACTGTTGTGTTTCAGTGAGGCGTCTCTAGTGTTATGGCATGCAGAATCAGCAAGAGGGCGCTAGAGTACACTGAGCCTGCCCACATTGATTTGCTCAGCGGCGGCCACTTTCTCAAAAACAGAACCCAAACCCTCCTAATGGGGGAGGTCAACAGTTCTCTGAGTAAAACAGATGGAATGATGCTAAGTTTTCAGCATAATTATGCGAAGCAAAAGATTAATAATGCATGTCGTTTATCATTCTAATTTGATTTCTAAAAATTCCAAATGATTTTATAGTCATAAGAATGTTTCAATCTGCATTATTAAAGCACTTAATGGTTCACTTAAAAACACCATTAACAGCAGTTTAATCCAATTGTAGAAAACAGAGGAATAACACTCGGAAGATAGAGCAAATTCCAATGTTAAACAGTGGCCGCAGTCTGGATGTTCTCCAGGGAGGGCACAAAATATCCTACTCCGCCCCCTTTCTCCACAAACACAGTAAGACTGGAGATGAGGGTTCACTGGAATGCTGAGAAATCTTATTTGGCTTGAATTTTGTTAAAAATTGGTTTTAAAAATATTTTTGAGCCAAAATTTTTGTGGAGGGGGTAGAAAACATTTTGTTTTGGGGTTTTTGGACCATACCTGCCGGTACTCAGGACCATGCAGCGCCAGGGTATTTAAATAAATATTTCAGGATTTATTTTTATTGTCATATCTAATTTGAAAAGATGTTTTACATAATAAACAAGTATTTAGACTTTTGAATTCTAGTTTTATAAACATTCAAAACCTCATCGTTTATTGTCTAAACATGTTGCTAATTTTATACCATAGTTAAAAATGAAAAGGTTCTTTTAATCAATATCCAAGTTTTAAGTTATTTCCAACATTACATGTTAAAACTTATTTTAATTGACCAATATTATAATACATAGACTTCAATTCCTTAATGTATTTCAAAATCAATGCGAATTGGGCCGGGTGCTTGCCTTGCACATGACCAACCCGGATTCAATCCCCGGCACTCTGTATGGTCCCCAAGCCCGCCAGGAGTGATTTCAGAGTGCAGAGCCAGGAGTAAGCCCTGAGTACTGCAGTGTGTGGCCCTCTAAAACCCCAAAAATGTTAATGAAAAGGGGTTGCTTTGAAATCTACTTACTTAATCAAGCTATTCTAATCGACAAAATATGGAAGGGCAGGGAGAAATGTGGCTCTCTTTGGGCTTTTAGCAAACCACACCAAACGCTTAAATTTTTTTTTTTACTTTCTAAAAATAAATTAAGGTTTCTGTGAATGTATTATAAGGCATGTATGAGAGGCATGTGATTTTTGGATCAATTCTATAGAAACTTTTTCATAAAAAATATTTCCTCAAAAAAATTACTTCAAAGTCGTCAAATTAGAAAAGATTATGGAGGGGCTAGTGAGGAGAGTGGGGATAGTTTGAGAATGTTCAAGGCTCGCAAGATGCAGGTGGAAGATCAAATGTTTCTCTCTTCTCTTGTGGTAGTCATGCTCAACTTGACCTGCAGGAGCTGTGCATCTATAAGAGGCGTGATCAGTGGATGAGCCAACCCTCTCGACCAATAACAAACCCAGAGCTTGCTGGTTAAGGGCTGGAAAAGCAACCATCAGAATAAAATGGATGATTCCCACTGCACAGGATTTCCCCACAAAAAGGTTTCTTTTATATTGCAAACACATTTTGCTTCGGCATAGGAATTGAAGAGGAGAACAGCTTGTAAAGGCTCATGGTCTTGTGAGTACAGTAGATCCCCTTGAGAAAGCTGGGTTAGAAGATAGGACTTAGACTTGTGCTATATTAAGCTTTGACTGCAACTACCAAGTTGCACAGGACATGATTTGACCCTTGATTTATCCAACCCATGTACAGCATAATCCAAGAATGGAATGAAATTTGACCTCACCAACACAGCCTTGGTGCTTTTGCTCCAGGGGTACCCAGTTTAGGAATTCCCTCTATTGATTTCATCGAATCCTGTTTTGGAGACCCTGAAGGCATCGCTAAGGCCCACCTGCTCCAGGAATTTGTCTGCAAGGTCCCTTGGCCTTCCCCACCAATGGTCCTGTTGTCTCTCCTAGCCTCCCCACCCCTAATCCAGGATGCTGGGTGATGGTCTTTCTCTCAGCTGCACATTTTCTATTGGGTGCTTCAAGGTAATCTCAGGATCACCAAAGGAGGGGGACACAGGGCAAAGGCACTGGAGGCCACACTTCCCTGGCACCGTGCTCCCAGCAGTTTCCCACAGAGAACTCCTCCGTAAGCTCCTCGGCAAGACTCCAGAGGGTCCAGAGGTATGGGGCAAGGAACAGGCACTCAATAAAAAAAAACTAGCTATTTTTCCTTCTGATTAACAAGTATGGGATATATAGCCTCATCCACACATACCTACAAAGTGCCAGGTACCAGGCTGGGCACAGACCACCATATTGGATAAAGCAAAGAATGCGCCCTCAAGGAGCACCACATCTGTTCTGGAAGTCTCTGGAAGCACTCCAGAACCTTGTGGAGACTAAGCCTAGTTAACCCCATCTGGGGAAGCTGAGGAGCAAAGGTAAACAGATTTCAGGTTGGCAGAAATGTTGGATAAACCAATTCTTGCAAATAATGTCTCAATGAAATCTACCAGAGTTGAACAGGAAGGCACTACAAAAGTCGGAAAAGCATGGGAAACCTCTGCTTTTCGTCGAGAAATCTAGTATGAAATGGCTTCTAAATACACGGTCTGTAGCTACAAACAGATGAACATGTACAACTTGCCACCTGATCAGCTTCCGCTTCAGAGGGGTAGCCATTGTGTTCTTCCTGAAACTCCTGCACGGCAACAGGTGCATGAACAAGAAAAGGCAGAGGAGAAAGAAACACGTGCAAACACACAGGTGAAAGGACAGAAGTTCTTTTTTAAAAGAGACAGTAAGCATGTAAAAGTCGACACACCTTTTCATGGTTTTGCAAATTCACCTTTTCCCCCTTGGAGTAAAGGAAATAACCTCTACAGCTTCTTCAGCCTAAAATGCAGTATCTAGAGGGTCCATTGCACGTGTGTTGGCACAGAAAAATGAAGAGCAGACAGGTATCATGGACTTCTACGAAAGCAATGCCTCTTCAAAATCAAGCAACAACACAGCATACAGCAATCGACCCAAAATAACAAACACAACATATGCTCAGAGAAAATAAATTAAACTGCAGAAAGAACATACCCACTAAAGGGAAAAGTCAAGCCAAAATATGGAGGCCATTTTCAGACAGGTATTAAAAACACAGCAAGTATTCCTCTACTCTAAAGCAGAAGTTTTCAACCTTTTCACACTGGCACTGATCCAGGGATCGGAGGTTGAAAACCACTGCTCTAAAGGCCTATTCTATCGCTCATATTATATTAGGAGTCAACCTGCTATTAACACTGCTCTTAACCAAATATCCACACACATGCACATGCACATTTCACATGCTAGAAAAACATATGCATGTATAATAGATACAAAAATATATAACCTATTAAGTAAGTATTGTGACTTAAGCACCAATATCATACTGAACAACTCTAACTACAGTTATCAGTGTGCTCCAAACAGCTAAAAGGTCACTGAGCTTTAAATTTTTCTCAATTCCTTTCAAGGTATACTGTCCTTAACTGCTTTAAGGAATCAATTGGTTTTTGAAACTTGAAAATTGGACATTTGGTTCAGTCAGTAATCTAAAGCACATAAGTACTAAAGATGATAAGAAAATAACCCCTTTAAAATTGTGTCAAATATCCCAGGCAGAACATATTAAACTTTGGCATATATATATTTTTTTCCTTCACAATACTCTAGGAAATCAGTGAAGTAGCAAGAAAGCTCTGCGAATTCTTACTTTGCATCTTTCTTGTTCAGAACATGGTAAAAGAGCTAAGTAGCTATCTACATGTTTGTACTTCATCATCTGATTAAATTTCATATGCAGTTGGTACTGCTATCCTTCAAAGTAATGTAACTCTTTTCATGCAGTATTTTAAAAATTCCATTCTTTTTGATTTCAAAGAAAAGGAATTGTTCTTGAACCGAAACACTTTGAAGCAGGAAGGATGAATGAGTAAACAAGAAAACAACACACATCATTTTTAAAGTCCATGCACAAGTAGAAAACCAAAAAATGAGATTTAACAATGTGAATCAGCGAAAGTGATTCCCAGGAGCAAAAGAAAATATGGTGAAAAGAAAATTAAACAAAAATTAATCTACTAGAACAAGAATTAGACTAGACCTACTTATTTGTATACTACTTCATTGTCTTCAATGTGACTAAAAACTTAAAATTGAAAGCATTAAGTTGTTCTGTCAAAATCCACATTGTTTTCATTTCATGGAAATTAGTCAATTGTCAACACCCGATACTCAGGATTAAACGCATGCACGTTACCAATCTTTGTCTTGCTTTATGGGTATTCTGAAATAAAGGGAAGCAGTCATGAGGAAAATACTTGATGCGATCCGCTGGTTGTAACAGCTATGCAGGTGTTTTAAGAACTAGTAAATGGAACTGATTTTGCTACCTTCCTCTTTCAGATTAACATTTTTGCCTTTTGGCCTGCGCATGCAAACACAAAAGTGACTTGAAACCCTAAAAGAATGAACAGTAACTGACTGCCGGTTTGCTGCTCTTACTAAATTCTTTAGCATGAATTACATAATGAAAAGGGGTTACAAGAGAACTCTAGGCACTGCCATGAACATTCACTTGGTCAGAATAAGTAATATATGGCAATTCGGTACTGCACACTGGTAGCAAATTTTAGCATCTTGACCTCACACACATTGGCTTTCTTGCACATAAAAATGCTAACAGATAAAGCATTTCTAGTGAACACTTAAAGCTATGACACAGCAGAGCAAATTGATCCAAGTGATTCATAAAAACCAGGGAGAAGGTAAAGAGACTAAGTGTTCAATAAAGCACAGACACACACAAGTAGGAGGCCCATCTGCCAAAAGCCAAATATCCTTACCCTTAGATCAGGCCTCCTGAAAACCTGTTAGTTAAAACACAGAACATCATCATCATCATGGACCCGGGACTATTGACCCCGCACGAGACACTGTTAAGCTCACCAGCCCATTGCCCGAGAAACATCATCTCCTCTAAGCAAAACCAACCAGATCAATTCTAACACATTTGCCCTCTAAGTTTTATCTGATGTCAAATCAATCCTAATATATTCATCCTAGGATCTGCAGGCAAGTCTGCGATTTGCAGAAATTTATCGCCCTTAGGCTAAGACAAACAACATTATTTTAAACACAAACCTCTCTGTCAAGTGCTATTACGAGCCACTGTGAACAGGCTAGGTTGGAAAAGTTCATTTGTGTGTCTGTTTGGAATACTGAGTGCCTTTGCCCCATGGAAACAATGATATAAAAAGGCAGTTCTGCACCCAGCCCAGCCCACAGAAACAAAACAAAGTGCACCCCAAACCCACAAAAGCCTCTACATTTAACCCAGAGCACAGCTCAGCAGCGTGTTAATGGGATAATGAAACCCAGTAAAACACAAATCTTAACCCGAATTCCGTGGAAATTATATTTCCAAGGGGCAACTTGGGATTCAAAGTCCCTAAAGGCCATAGGCTGCCTCCAGAGAGCCCAGGGGCGGCTCTGGTGGGAAGACGGGGCTGATGGGTACTGGAAGGGAGGGGTGGAACACCCCCACTGCCAACCCGTGTCAGGAAAAGCCAATTTTGTAAGTGGAACAGAGTGCAGGGACCCTATTTCTACTCCCATAGGCTGGAAGTCCTGACTGAACAGGAAGTAGATGTGGCCATTTGGGGTGGGCAGGCAGCGGTCACTGCTGAGAGAGTAGCTGAAAATCACACAGCAGTAACTGTCTTCCACTTCTGCGTGGGAAAGTCCATAGCCTGTGGACTAATCACCAGATCAGGCCAGGTTCTTAGCAGCTACATGGGTGTGACTTGGGCCAGGGGATCACATGAATGTAAAACTACAGATTAAAAAACAACAACAACAACAACATCATTTGATCACCATGGAAACTCCTGGAAGAAAAAATACTCTGAAGTAAGAGACGCTGCAACGGAAGAGATCTGAAGTCCATCTGTTCCTGAATAGAGACTACTCAGGCTAAGAAACAGAAATCTGGCTTAGTTTTTTGGAGGGGGAATGAGTCACAGACATGTTTAGCACCTTCATTGTGGTGGTAGATTCACAAGTATGTACCTGTGTCAGAAACAATCAAATTGTATGCTCTGACTCTGTGGCGTTTAGCATTCATTAATTACACCTCAAGGAAGAACAAAATCAATACAAGGAATGCTTATGTTGGAGAACTCAAAACAGGACGTGTACAGCAAGAAAAAGTCAGCGCAGAAGGTCTCCCTGCTCTGAGTTTCCGTCCTCGGGGATAGCCATGTGTCTTTAATTGATGAACTGAAGGTCTGTCTTCACTCAGCTGTCAACGCAGCACGCCTCTTCCTCTGGCGATTTTCAACAGCATTTTTTGCCCTCCCATTTGAAAAGATGAGGAAATTCATTCTCACCCTCTACGACCTCCCTCTCTCCGCTCTTCTGGTTGAAATATCTCCTTTCCAGTTCTGGCTCCCTTTGGCTGCTGCTCTATCACATAAACTACTCACGAAGCAACGTTTAGGTGCCAGACAGTCTTCGAACCACTTTATATAAAGTCACTGTATTCGCAGAATCCTCCTGTAGCATAAAAACAGTCTCTGGTTCCATTTTCTGATGTGAAAACCAAGATCCCGGAGAGGGACATGGCACAGTTCTGGGAGCCTGGGCAGTGGCGATACTGCCTTTATGTTGTCGCTTTGCCACATGGAAAAGATCAGAGCCCCACTTGACACTTCAGAGCCTGTCTCTGCCACCTTTAGGCTCCCTAGGAGAATCCGTGCCACCTCCTCTCCAAAACCCTGCTTCAGCTTGTCACCACCACAGGTATTTGCCCCCGGTCTCTTAACTTGAGAGCGACAGCTGAAAGCTAAAGCATGCAGCGCCCGGTGTGCGGGCAGCAGCTACACGCTGCCAACAAGCCTGTACCGCTGGACGGAGATGCTAACTGGGAGGTTTGCTCATAATTTGCTTTTATGATCACAGAGTCTCAGCGTCTTGGGGTGAGGCTGGGAGGGTCAATCAAAGTGGCCCTCCAAGTCTGCATGTTGAGACCTGAGTGCCTCGCTCTGCTTCAGCTGCCACCTCTGCTGAAATACAGCATTGCAGGCCCAGTACTGTTCATCATCTTCCTCAATTACACTCCGACGGGGCCAGAAAAGAGAGCAGAGAGGCGTCTTCGTGTCTGCACGTGATCTCAGCTTTCCTTCGAAGGAGGGGAGTGTGGTGCCCTGGTCAAGTTTAAAACCCTAGGGGACTTCAGAAAACACGTTCCCCATGGAGGCAGAGGGAGGCCACTGACAGCTCCTAGACAGCATGAACTTGTGGTCAGGACCAGGGCCCGCTGCTTATCCCGACACCAAGGAAATGCCTCTGCCCCCGCGCCCCCTCCCAGTTTGAGCTCTTCTCTCAACTGGTAACGGGGTGCACAGCAAGTTCTCAATCAGCAGACGTAGCTGGAGTGGAGTGGCTGAGAAGCTGAGATGCGGGAGTAGTTGGTCTCAGTACTCTAGGTCACCTTTCACAATTGATGGGCCTCGGCCTCCCAAGCTGCACCCCAACTCTCAGGACCTGCCTTGGCCTCCCAGGCTGTACCCCAACTCTCTGGACCTGCCCTCCTTAACTCCTACACATGCCAAGAGCCTATCACAAGGTGCGAAACAAGTTAGTATGGATCTTCTCTTACTAAAG